CATTCCTGGGTTTTCTTTAAATAAATCTGCCTGAGTGTTTTGGTGATATATTTCCAGTAGTCAAAAGAGTATGAACAAGATTATTGATGAAGATAGATAGATAGATAGATAGATAGATAGATAGATAGATGATAGATAGATAGATAGATAGATAGATAGATAGATAGATAGATAGATAGATAGATAGATGATAGATATAGAGAGATAGAGAGATAGAGAGATATAGATATAGATAGATAAATAGATGATAGATAGATAGATAGATAGATAGATAGATAGATAGATAGATGATAGATAGATAGACAGCTGATGATAGATAGATGATAGATGATAGATAGATAGATAAATGATAGATAGATAGATAGATAGATAGATAGATAGATAGATAGATAGATAGATATAGATAGATAGATAGATGATAGATGATAGATAGATAGATAGATGATAGATAGATAATAGATAGATAGATATAGATGATAGATAGATAGATAGATAGATAGATAGATAGATAGATAGATAGATGATAGATAGATGATAGATAGATGATAGATAGATAGATAGATAGATAGATAGATAGATAGATAGATAGATTCTCTCTTTCCAAGGTAGAATTTTACGTGCCAACACCAGACATTCAGTTCTCAGGCCTTGCTCATCACTAGACATAACCCAGGGTGGACAAAGCGATCCTTGGCTACTTGGAAGAAGGAGATGGTGGCAAAGTCAGGACTGTTCAAGGAGAGAAAACCCCAATAAACTGCCAGGTATAAGGAGCAGAAGCATCTGGATGAAATTATTACAATGAAAAGGGGGGACGGAGAGTGAGAGTGCACAAACCTTAAAAATAACTCTTAGAATCGCTAAGCACGGCTCTCTCCGTTAGGAGGAAATTTCAGGAAGGGGGGAAAAATACCGAGTTATTTTTATTCCCAAATGAGCCCCATTCTCCAAATGAAAATCTTTCTTCACCTCTTTTTTTGATTTTCCTTACACTCTCTCCTGTCCTTTCTTCCTTCAGGGAAAAAATTGCTCTGTGTTACCCCTTTATGAAGCCCATAAAACGCCTGGAAATCTACCCTGGCAGCCGGCTGCACTTGGAGAGATGGCGGCGCGTGAGTCAAACAGCAACGGAGAGAGGCAGGGAGAAGGAAAAGGGGTTTGGAAAAGCGCTCAGGTCTGGAAGATTTCTCGGGCAGCCTGTTACTTTGCTTAAAGGTCAGATCAGGATGGAATCGCAGGAAGGCGGGCTGCAGAGATGGAGGCCGGCAGTCAGCATGTTTGGCGATGCAGCAGATCTGCAGGTTAAGAACCGCAATGAATCAGAGGCCTGGCAGCCTTGGAAGGGATCTGTGCCCCGAGGCACGGCTTCCCATCAGCAACCACCTCCGCCACAAATACCACCAATGAACTCTCAGGAGAATGTCAGAAGTTCCCTGTGGCTGGATCAGGCCAAAAGTCCCACCAGGATGCCCACAAGGAAGCCTCCTCAGAAGAGGGGTTTCCCAAATGGCTTGCAGAGTCAGAAGAGCTTGCTGGATCCGGCCAAGGACCCATCCAGTCCAACATCCTGTCCGTACAACGGCCAACGAGATACCTGTGGAAACCCACAAGGAGGACCAACAGGAGACTGTGTCCAGTTCTGGGCACCACAGTTCAAGAAGGACACTGACAAACTGGAACGTGTCCAGAGGAGGGCAACCAAAATGGTCAAAGGCCTGGAAACGATGCCTTATGAGGAACGGCTAAGGGAGCTGGGCATGTTTAGCCTGGAGAAGAGGAGGTTAAGGGGTGATATGATAGCCATGTTCAAATATATAAAAGGATGTCACATAGAGGAGGGAGAAAGGTTGTTTTCTGCTGCTCCAGAGAAGCGGACACGGAGCAATGGATCCAAACTACAAGAAAGAGGATTCCACCTAAACATTAGGAAGAACTTCCTGACAGTAAGAGCTGTTCGACAGTGGAATTTGCTGCCAAGGAGTGTGGTGGAGTCTCCTTCTTTGGAGGTCTTTAAGCAGAGGCTTGACAACCATATGTCAGGAGTGCTCTGATGGTGTTTCCTGCTTGGCAGGGGGTTGGACTCAATGGCCCTTGTGGTCTCTTCCAACTCTATGATTCTATGATTCTAGGAGACAAATTCCGGGAGGAGAGCCAGCCAGATGCTTCCATGGGAAACCAGCAAGCAGGATTCGAGCCGAAGGGTCAGCAAGTGGTCTTCAGAAGCAGAGCTTCTGTGGAGGGAGAGCATAGCTACCATGACCAGCACCCATCAAGAGGCTTAACCTCCAGGAATTTGTCTTTTTCAAAGCCATTTTCAAAGCCATTTTTCAAAGCCATTCAAGTTGGTGGTCATCTCTGCCTCTTGCAGGAGGGAGTTCCACAGTTTCTTTTATGTGTCCTGAATCTTTCAATGTTCGACTTCATTAGGTGTTCATGGTTTCTAGTGTTATGAAAGAACTTTTCTCCATCCACTTCCTCCATGCCACGTCTTATGTACTGAGTTGAATAGGATCCAGAATGCAGCAGTCTGATTGGTCCTAGAACAATAGGGTCCAGAATGCAGCAGTCTGATTGGTCCTAGAACAATAGGGTCCAGAATGCAGCAGTCTGATTGATCCTAGAACAAAAGGATTCGGAATGCAGCAGTCTGATTGGTCCACAGGAGCCACCCAAACCAGCTCCAGGTGGAAGTGACTCCGCAACCTGATTGGCCTACAGGAGAATCCCGGAATTAGCCAATCAAGTGGGGTCCATTGTGTAAACAATGTGTATAAAGCAGTCATTTGGGGGGAACTCCCATTCCTCACTACTATGAGCTGAATAAAGAGCATGAAATCCACTCTCGACTCCAAGTATCTTTCACCATGCATCGTATTATCAACTTCTATCTAGCATGTTGCCTCTTCCTCGTCATATCTCTAAACTGCAAATGTCCGAAACGCTACAACCTTTCTTCATAGGGAGTCGCTCCATCCCTTGATCAGTGGTCAGCAAACTTTTTCAGCAGGGGGCCGGTACACTGTCCCTCAGCCCTTGTGGGGGGCCGGACTATATTTTTTGGGGGGGATTAACGAATTCCTATGCCCCACAACTAACCCAGAGATGCATTTCAAATAAAAGGACACATTCTACTCATGTAAAAACAGGCTGATTCCCGGACAGTCCGGGGGCCGGATTTAGAAGGCGATTGGGCCAGATCCAGCCCCCGGACCTTAGTTTGCCTACCCATGCCCTTGACTGTTAAAGTTGCCCTTTCCTCATTTCCCCCCTCAACTCTACAATACCTTTTTTGAGGTGAGGCATTAAAAGGTGTACTCCAGATGTTTTCCAAATGCGATTGTACCCTAAATTTGTATTATGATACTGGACATATTCAGGGTGTCTTTCCCCCAGCCGGAACTCACTGGAACGCCATTCCGGCCCCTCTCAGGTGGGTGCCATTGCCATTCTAAGAGAACAAGGAAGGTGTTCAGGGTGAGTTCCATCACCTCTTTTTCTAGAAAAATAGCAATGGGACCTGTATCTGAGCATGGAGCACCCCTCAAGTCTATCCAATTTATCTCCGTGGGGCTGCCCTTGAGACTGACCCAGAAACTCCAGCAGGTGCAGAATGCCACAGCGAGACTCCTTATGGGGTCCTTGCCATGGGATCACATTCACCCAGTGCTATACCAACTGCACTGGCTCCTGGTGGAGTACAGGATCAGGTTTAAGGTGCTGGTTTTAACCTTTAAAGCCCTATGTGGCCTAGGACCCTCGTACCTACGGGACCGCCTCTCCTGGTATGTCCCACGGAGGACCTTATGGTCTTCAAACAAAAACATCTTGGAGGTCCCAGGCCACAGGGAGGTTAGGCTGGCCTCAACCAGAGCCAGGGCTTTTTCGGCTGTGGCCCCGATCTGGTGGAACGCTCTGTCACAAGAGACTAGGGCCCTGCAGGACTTGACATCTTTCCGCAGGGCCTGCAAGACAGAGCTGTTCCACCAGACCTTTGGCCAAGGCACAGTCTGACCCCCTACTTCGGTAATTCTCATAGCACTCTAGCCCAATGGTTGTCATTAATTCGATTCTGAATTGATTTTAGAATGAATTGATTTTAGAATGCTGTGTTACTTTTATTGTTGTTAACCGCTCTGAGCCCGACTTTGGCTGGGGAGGGTGGGATATAAATAAAATTTTATTATTGTTATTATTATTGCTCTGCCCATCCACTTCCCACCTTTTCACAACTCCTCATCTGCATCCAGCAGCTCACGCTGAATTGCACACCTGCATCCAGGTATCTCAGCCACCTTCATCTCAGAGCAGGGCCAGTCACCTATTTCAACCAAGACAAATGGAAGAGGAGTCTTGCTGCTCTTTCCTCCTGGCATCCATTCTTTCTCAAGGTAGAAGAGAGTTCAGCATGTCCCATTCCTTGAGGTCAGGGGAAACTTGCTCTCCCCGCCCCCATAGCTCTTAGTGGGTGGCTGCATTTCTTACAAACCACACCGGCCGTAGCTGTATTTATTTTGCCCCCTGTCAGAAGGAGGAAAGAGGGCGACTTCTGCCAAGTAACTTTACCCCAAAGTATTTCCTGCAGATTCCCTCCAAGACAGCTTGATCGGAGGTTACCTGGGGCTGCGGGGGTGATGGGCAGATGGACCGGTGCAGCCCCATAATTGCTAGAGGATTGTTGTTGATGGTCCAACAGCAAGGGAAGGGGGAGGTCCAAAGGGGGGGGCAAGTCAAATGGAGATGGGACAGGTCTCTCCAGCTGCAAGCCTTTTTCATTCCAGAAGGCAAGCTTTCTTCTCCGGCTGGGCATCAGCCCTTTCCCAAACTGTATTAAATCCTCCAGGAATTCAGAGGGTTTATTATTTTAGTATTAGTATTAGTATTTAATTAAGAGAATTTCATTTATAAAAAGAGTGAGAAAAAGAGAGTGAGAATGAAATAAAAGAAAAAATACTGTTACATTACTATATGTTAATATTATTGTTGTTGTAGTTGTTTAGTCGTTTAGTCGTGTCCGACTCTTTGTGACCCCCTGGACCAGAGCACGCCAGGCCCTCCTGTCTTCCACTGCCTCCCTCATGCTGGCAGCTTCGAGAACACTGTCCCACCATCTCGTCCTCTGTCGTCCCCTTCTCCTTGTGCCCTCCATCTTTCCCAACATCAGGGTCTTTTCCAGGGAGTCTTCTCTTCTCATGAGGTGGCCAAAGTCTTGGAGCCTCAGCTTCTGGATCTGTCCTTCCAGTGAGCACTCAGGGCTGATTTCCTTCAGAATGGAGAGGTTTGATCTTTGAGCCAGGGAAGTCCCCAAATAGAAGTTCCATCACAGAAGGAGAAAGGAAAGAGGGGAAGGGGATCAAATTGGCTCCAAGCCAAAGGCCAGGCAGAACAACTCTGTCTTACAGGCCCTGCGGAAAGAAATCAGATCCTGCAGGGCCCTGGTCTCATGAGACAGAGCGTTCCACCAGGCTGGGGCCAGTGTTGAAAAGGCCCTGGCTCTGGTTGAGGCTAATCTGACTTCCTTAGGGCCTGGGACCTCTAGGGTGTTGCTGTTTATGGACCTTAAGGTCCTCTGTGGGGCATACCAGGAGAGGCGGTCCCGTAGGTACGAGGGTCCTAGGCTGTAAATAAACATCAGTTGCTGGAAACTCCAGAAGGGTAGAGTGCTCTTGGGCTGCCAGAGCCATCTTTCCCATTGGGTTTACTCGCGCATTGCGCCAGGGCGCCAGCCTCTCAGGGGGGCCCAGCAAGTGGGGGAGCTGCGCAGCTTTGCCGGCGGCCTCCTCTTTCCCTCCTGCATGCCCACCAGCTGTGCCCTGTCCACCATATGGCTGGCGGGCATGCAGCTTGCCTCCCAACCTTTCGCGCAAGGAGAGCAAGCCCCGCAGAGGCTTAGGATGGAAGCTGCGCCCTGCCAACTATATAGCTGGAGGGGGTGTGCAGCTTCCTTTCCAAGCCACCACAGGAGGAGAGCAATCCCCACAGACGCTTGGGAAAAGGTCGACAACTCTGGGAAACGTGGAGCGGGGCGCCGGAGGGAACTTTGCACCACAGCACCAGATATGCTTAAGACGGCAATGTGTGCTGCAATACTGCCTGGAAGGAGGATGGAGGGTGTCTTTGAGCACACCCGCTTTTGCCACACACATACACCCCTGGTGTGTGACCACTGGAAGGAAGCTACCAGAGTGGCTGGGAAAACCCAGCCTGATGGGTGGGGTATAAAAGATAAAATTATTATGATGATTACCCATGAGGGAATGTGTCCCAGCAGCTGAAAAAGGTTCCCCGCTGCTTGACCTGCTCAAACGCCCCAGGGTCACCCCTCTGCCCCAATTCCATTCCCCAAGAGCGTGTCCACATACAACTGGGAATGTCCTCTATTTGAAATCCCAAAGTGCTGCCAGCGGTCAGTTTAGATCCGTGGTTCCCAACGCGGGGCACATGCCCCACAGGGGGGCAATTTGATTTCTAAGGGGAGGGGCAGTTTGGAAGCTTGTTTGTTGTAGTTGTTTAGCCATTTAGTCATGTCCGACTCTTTGTCACCCCCTGGACCAGAGCACGCCAGGCACTCCTGTCTTCCACTGCCTAACACAGTTTGGTCAAACTCATGCTGGTAGCTTCCAGAACACTGTCCAACCATCTCGTCCACTGTCGTCCCCTTCTCCTTGCGCCCTCCATCTTTCCCAACATCAGGGTCTTTTCCAGGGAGTCTTCTCTTCTCATGAGGCGGCCAAAGTCTTGGAGCCTCAGCTTCAGGATCTGTCCTTCCAGTGAACACTCAGGGCTGATTTCCTTCAGAATGGATCAGTTTGATCTTTTTGCAGTCCCTGGGACTCTCAAGAGTCTCCTCCAGCACCAGAATTCAAAAGCATCCATTCTTCAGCGATCAGCCTTCTTTATGATCCATCTCTCACTTCCATCCATCACTACTGGGAAAACCATAGCTTTAACTATACGGAAGCTTGTTTAAACCGAGTTAATGGCCCAAGACTCTGTCTCTGCATATACGGGAACTTCCTGTGTTGCCAGTCGCTCCCTGTGTGTGTCCTCAGAGCACAGCCCTTGGCAGGATAAGGAGAGAAATTCCAAGGATTTGCCCCCTCCCCACCTTTATCTGCAAGGCAACAGTGAACTGATCTCCCAGCAACATTGTTGCAAGGAAGAGCGTAGTCGCCGGCCGTTGCAGCTGGACAGCAGCCGAGATCTGGCTGACTGTTTCCTTTCTTGCTACAGGTGCAGAGTCCGTGCAGATAAGGAGGGGTCTTCGGTTCTAAAAAGGCTTCTCTCTTGGAAGGTCAAGCCAGCAAGTCGAAACATTAAGTAGAAGCGAGGTCATTTCCAAACTCGGCTCCTGAAAGAGCACGAGACAAACGAGGGGGGAGGTCCCCAAAGATTGGTAGTTTCAGGAACTGGTGAATTTGGGACCAATTTGGGGTGGGGGACTGTATCCTGAGAATCTAGTGTTGAGATCCTGTATGTACACAAGGTCCAGCATTTCGTGGGCGGCTGCCAGATCAAGCAGAGGGATCTGTCTTGACCATGTAGATACTTTTGGTGGGATCTTTCAGTTAAAGATTTGGGATGGACTGTTTGGAGAAAACACTGCAGAAGGTCCCTCCAATCTTCATATTCTGCCCCTAAATTCCAGGCAGGATCCAACCCAAAGGGATGTGAAGTCACATTTTGAGCATTTGTATCCTGCCTCAGTGTGCCAGGCGCCAACCTCAGGCTACCTTTGAAATCAAAGTAGTTCCCCCAGACTGGGCAGCTTGCACAAATTAAAACAATGCAGGCTAAACACAGTTAAAAACACATGAAAGATAACAGTTAATTATCTGTGATTAAGCTATAACAGAATTAAAACAATATAAAAACAGATCTGCTAAAATAGAGTTCGTAAAAGCAGCATAGCACTATTAAAGCTCTTTCCTTAAAAAACAGTCAGTTGCCAAAGGCTTGATGAAATGAGAAGGTCTTCACCTGCCAGCAGGACAGCAAGCAGGGAGCCAGTCTGGCTTCTCTAGGGAGGAAATTTCAAAGCTGCCTGGGAGGAGCCACCACTGAGAAGGTCCTCTCCTGTATCCCCACCAAGGATGTATCCTGCATCCCCACCAAAGGTGTCTGTGAAAGTGGTGGGACTAAGAGCCTCCCTTGAAGATCTCTACTTTCAGCAGGAGCTCTCAGGCTTCCATGTCTCACAGGAGGTAAGGGGGCCTATTTCTTCAAGAGATCTGACTTATGGTACAAGCCCAAACCGACAGCTCTGTCTGTCGCTTTGCCTATCCATGGAGCTACTGAGTCTGCAAAAGGCTAGACCCTGACGTCCTGTGTTCAGTTCTGGGTGCCACAATTTAAGAAGGATTTTGACAAAGTGGAACATGTGCAGAGGAGGGCGACCAGGATGATCAAGGGTCTGGAAACCAAGCCTGATGAGGAACGGTTGAGGGAGCTGGGGGCGTTTAGCCCGGGGAAAAGGCAACCAAGAGGAGATATGTGTCAGGAGTGTGTGCAGGAGCCAGGCCCTGTGACCAATAGGACTTTGCAGGACTGGGCCTTCCTAAGTTTGTTCTGAAGAGGCAAGGCACGGCCGCACAGGTGAGGCCAATTGGTAACTCACAGCACCTGGTGGCAAGAGCTGGGAAGGGATATAAGGTCAGCATTTCCCTTCAGCTCTTGGCCATAGCAACACGTTCCCTGCCTTGCTGCGTTTGGTTTCTTGCTTCCTGATCCTTGAACCTCGGCTTCTTGAGTCCCTGCTTCTTGATCCTTGGACCCCTGACTTTGTGGCTCCTTGCTTCTTGATCCTTGGACCCCTGACTTCGTGACTCCTTGCTTCTTGATCCTCGGACCCCTGACTTCGTGACTCCTTGCTTCTTCTTTTTTTTTTAAAAGATATTTATTAAGATTTTCAAAATATTACAAAACAAAAAAAGAAAAAAGTACAAAAATAAAAATGGCTAAAAACAACTCAATCTTTCCATTACTTATTTTTCATTAGCTTATTTCCCGGACCTCCTCACGCCTCCCTTTTTTGTATTCCAGTTCAGTTTGTTGGTTCAGCAAATCCTTACCCTCTTTGTTTATCCTAGTCCTTAATCTTAAAGTATTGTAACATTAAATTTTTACCTATTAATAATCCATTTTCATATTCCCTTATAGTATTACAGCTGAAAACCACTTAATTTCTATCCAACATCATTCTAACATTCATTAATTTTACAATATTTCTGTAGATAGTCCTTAAATTTCTTCCAATCTTCTTCCACCGACTCTTCTCCCTGGTCTCGGATTCTGCCAGTCATTTCCGCCAATTCCATATAGTCCATCACCTTCATCTGCCATTCTTCCAGAGTGGGTAGATCTTGTGTCTTCCAATACTTTGCAATGAGTATTCTTGCTGCTGTTGTGGCATACATAAAAAAAGTTCTGTCCTTCTTTGGCACCAATTGGCCGACTATGCCCAGGAGAAAGGCCTCTGGTTTCTTCAAGAAGGTATATTTAAATACCTTTTTCAACTCATTATATATCATCTCCCAGAAAGCCTTAATCCTTGGGCACGTCCACCAAAGGTGAAAGAATGTACCTTCAGTTTCTTTACATTTCCAACATTTGTTATCGGGCAAATGATAAATTTTTGCAAGCTTGACTCGGGTCATGTACCACCTGTATATCATTTTCATAATATTCTCTCTTAAGGCATTACATGCCGTAAACTTCATACCTGTGGTCCATAACTGTTCCCAGTCAGCCATCATTATGTTATGTCCAACATCTTGTGCCCATTTGATCATAGCAGATTTCACCGTTTCATCCTGAGTATTCCATTTCAACAGCAAGTTATACATCTTTGACAAAATCTTAGTTTTGGGTTCTAACAGTTCTGTTTCTAATTTTGATTTTTCCACCTGGAAACCAATTTTCTTGTCCAAATTATATGCCTCCATTATCTGATAATAATGAAGCCAGTCTCGCACTTTGTTTTTTAATTTCTCAAAACTCTGCAATTTCAGTCTATCTCCATCTTGTTCCAAAATTTCCCAATATTTCAGCCATTTGGCCTCCATATTGAGCTTTTTCAGAGCTTTCGCTTCCATCGGTGACAGCCACCTTGGGGTTTTATTTTCCAATAAGTCCTTATATCTTATCCAAACATTAAACAATGCTTGCTTGACTCCTTGCTTCTTGATCCTTGAACCTCGGCTTCTTGAGTCCCTGCTTCTTGATCCTTGGACCCTTGACTTTGTGACTCCTTGCTTCCTGACCCTTGGACCCATGGCTTCCTGACTCCTGGCTTCTGAACCCCCGTTCCTGCTCCCACCCTGCCATCTTGCTCTGCTGGGACATCGATCGCCCGTGCACTGGACCGTGACAATATGGTAACCAACTTCAAATACCTGAAGAGCTGTCAAGTGGAAAATGGAGCAAGCTGTTCCAGAGGGTAGGACCTATAATAATGGAGTCAAATGACTAGAAAGGAGATTCCATCTAAACATGAGGGAAAACGTTATTACGGTAAGAGCTGTTTGGCAGTGGGACTGAGTCCCTCAGAAGGTGATGGACTCTCCTTCATTGGAGGTTTTTCAACAGAGGTGGTGCTTGCTCTAGTTATCTCCCGCTTGGGCTACTGCCATGCGCTCTCTGTGGGGCTACCTTTGAAGGTGACGCAGAAACCACAACTAATCCAGAATGCGGCAGCTAGACTGGTGACTGGGAGCGGCCACCGAGACCATATAACACCAGTCTTGAAAGACCTACATTGGCTCCCAGTATGTTTCCGAGCACAATTCAAAGTGTTGGTGCTGACATTTTAAAACCCTAAATGGCCTCCGTCCAGTATACCTGAAGGAGCGTCTCCACCCCCATTGTTCTACCCAGACACTGAGGTCCAGCTCTGAGGTCCTTCTGGCAGTTCCCTCACTGTGAAAAGCCAAGTTACAGAGAACCAGGCAGAGGGCCTTCTTGGTAGTGGCACCCACCCTGTGGAACTCCCTCCCACCAGATGTCAAAGAGAAGAAGAACTACCAGACTTTTAGACGACATCTGAAGGCAGCCCTGTTTAGGGAAGCTTTGAATGTTTAATAGATTATTGTATTTTAATATTCTGTTGGAAGCCGCCCAGAGAGGCTGGGAAAACCCAGCCAGATGGGCGGGGTATAAATTATTTGTTTGTTTGTTTGTTTGTTTGTTTGTTTGTTTGTTTGTTTGAGGTTGGGTTGCCATCTGTCAGGGATACTTTACTTGTGATTCCTGTGTTCCAGGGAGTTGGGCTTGTTGACCTTTGGGGGTCCCTCCCAACTTTACGACTCTATAATTCCCTGCTTGATGTCCCATTCCAACCAGGGATCTCAGGTGGGCGGCCAAGCCCTGCAAGATAAACCAGCTTGATCCCCTGCGCTGCCTGAGTCAGCCTGCTTGTCTTTATTTTGTCCTGGCCGCGGGCCCCGGTTCAAGGAGAGTTGAATTTCTGATACTGCGGAGAATACAAGATAACTGTTGCATTTTTAACATACTAACAATTCCTCCGCTGGCAGACCGTTGCGGCAGCAGCAGGCATCCGCAGATCACAGAACAGTTACTTAGTCGCAGGGAGCCTGGAATGGGACGCTGCCTCCCTGCGAACCCTGGCTGGCGCGCTTGCAAGTGGCCTTTGTTTGCAGGCGGCTCGGGTGCCTGTTCCTGGCCCCGGCCCTGACGCAGGAGTGGGCAAGCAGGGGGCGAGCTCTGCTGAATCAGCTGCTGTCACCAGGCCAAGGAGATGGCTGGAGCGAGCCGAGGGGGGAGCAGCTGCTGCGTTCAGTCACAGGAAGTCTTCGAGCCAAGCAACCTGAGTGGCAGAGTGGAGGAACGCAGAGTTTTGCACCAAGGACCAAGAAGTCCAACTGCGGGAGACGGTGCAACCCGTCTTAGCCACTTAGCCAGAAATCATTGGTGGCCCTTTAAGATCAATACGTTGACAGACAGAGACACAGAGACAAAGACAGAGTGATACAGATGATACAGATATACTGATATACACAGATGACGGTACTGGAGCCTGGCAGTTTTGCACCCTAGGCAAAGCTAACTACAGTGGTACAGTCATACTTCGGGTTACAGACGCTTCAGGTTGCGTTTTTTCGGGTTATGGACCGCCAAAACCCGGAAGTACCGGAATGGGTTAGTTCTGGGTTTCGGCGGTCGCACATGCGCAGAAGTGCTGAATCGCAACCCGCGCGTGTGCAGACGCTTGAGGACTGCGGGCTACTATAGAGAGTATGCAAGGCGCTCCTGCTTCTGCCCTCCAGAAGAGGGGAATAGTGCCCTCCATGGAAGTGCTGTGGTGGCAGCCACCCTTCAACCCAGCCAGATGGGTGGGGAATGAATGAATGAATGAATAATTATTATTATTATTATTATTATTATTATTATTATTATTAAACTCAACTTGAATAAAATATTGCCAACTTGAATAAAATATTGTGGGGACCCAGGTAAGCCCAGCCCCACATAATCAATCAATGCTGTATTGTGTTTTTAATATTCGATTGGGAGCCACCCAGAGTGGCTGGGGAAACCCAGCCAGGTGGGCAGGGTATAAATAACAAATTATTATTATTCAAAATAAAATATAAAATAAAAAAATTGTCCAGTAGCACCTTAAAGGTAAAGGTAAAGGGATCCCTGACCATTAGGTTCAGTCATGGCCGACTCTGGGTTGCGGCGCTCATCTCGCTTTACTGGCCGAGGGAGCCAGCGTACAGCTTCCGGGTCATGTGGCCAGCAGGACTAAGCCGCTTTTGGCGAACCAGAGCAGCGCATGGAAATGCCGTTTACCTTCCCGCCAGAGCATTACCTATTTATCTACTTGCACTTTGACGTGCTTTTGAACTGCTAGGTTGGCAGGAGCAGGGACCGAGCAATGGGAGCTCATTCCGTCGCGGGGATTCAAACCGCCGACCTTCTGATCGGCAAGTTCTAGGCTCTGTGGTTTAACCCACAGCTCCACCTGCATCCCTCCAGTAGCACCTTAGAGACAAGCTAAGTTTATTCTGGGTATAAGCTTTCGTGTGCATACACACTTCTTCAGATACACTGAAACAGAAGTCACCAGGCCCTTATATATAGTGGGAGGGTGGGGTGGGGTTTTTCTCAGGAGAGTAGTAGGAGATGGGTGATTGACTCAATGGGTATGGTAAAGCTGTTGATGACTGTTTAAGACTGCAATTAGTCCTACAGGAAAAAGCAAGGGATAGTATGCAGATGACCTACCTGAATCTGTTGTTGTTGTTGTTGTTGTGACGCAGTGCACACACACCATTTGAATGGGAATGCCCATCAACTTTGTGGGGGCCCTGCCCCCTCAAATATTTTATTGTGGGGGCCGAAGCCCCTGCGGAGTTGGCTCCTATGCCTCAGCTTCTGCCACCTGAGGCAGTAGCCTCCGCCTGCCCAATGGTTGCACCGGCACTGCACTGGGGACAGTCTGCTCCCCAGACTCCTGAACCGCCCGTCAGTTCCATCCCCCAGCCCTTGGCTGGGCAAATGCGCCCCCAAATAACAGAGCCACCAGCTCCTGCTCCCACACTGCCCTTGGTGACCCTTGGCACGGATCCACAGAGGCACTTGGTCCACTTGGCCTGGCTCACCTGGAGAGACCACAGCCTAATCATCAGCTAAGACTCAGGGCTTAGAGCAACAGCACAGCACTCTCCTTGCATTCCTTGTCAGGCCTGATCTAAAACACATTGGCTGCTGCACCACAGAAAGCCATAATCTCCGAGGGGTGGCCAGAGGAAAGGATGGAGGAGCATCTATGACTGGTGTTGCCTTTGCAGCTTAGATCTAGCTTCTGCCTCACTTTGCCACCTCCGCGACCCAGCCAGTCCACAGGCCTCTCCACCAGGGCTTACGTTCCCAGTGTCTTGATGGGAGCCATCCATCACGACAGGCCCAAGCGCCTGCCTCCCTCCCCGCCCCCAAAAAAACGTCTGGACAGGACCGGTTGCAACAGCAGCAGCTGGAGAGTTCATCTCTTCTTTATCCCCCCGCCCGCCGTTAACACAGATCCTCTTGTGTTAAAGCAGAAACAAACAGTCCCCGTCCCAAACAGGATTCAACCTTCTAAAATTCCAGGCAGGAGACACTGTCACTCTGCCAATGCACAGGATGGCGCTCGCCCAAGTCTGTCAGAATGACCTGTGGGCTGTTTCCCCAGTGGGACTCTGGTTACTCCAGACAACTCTGTGTCCCTCGGACGGCTGCCTGCTCATTGATCACTTTCACTTGCTTTCCTACCCAGACATGATCCCTCCTGCCTCCCTTGCTTTGCTAAATACAAAACTGGCCTTCGCCACCAGCTGAGATCCTCCTTCTCCTCCTTCTGGTGCTACGTGATGTCTCCCCACCCCCATCTGAAGAGTGGAAGCCCACCCATAGGCCTTGGAACTGTTTCTCACAGGCAACAGAATGGTAGACTAGACACGCCATTGGTCTGGTCCAGGGTCTTATGCGCTTGTGTTCTTAGATGATTATCTCTGGCCTATTGTGCCTCCCTCTATCTCTGTGAACCAACCCAGACCCTGAGATCATCATCCGAGGACCCTTTTTGTGGGCCTCCTCCACAAGAGATCTAGAAAGTTGGCAAAACGAGAACAGGGCCTTTTCTGCAGTGGCTCCCCATTTGTGGGATGCTCTCCTCAGGGAGGCTTGCCTGGCACCTTCATTGTATTTAGGCTCCAGGCAAAAATGTTCCCCTTCTCCTAAGGCCTTTGGCTAATTAAACCACTGATGGCTTTTAAGCTGTGGGGGGGTATTGTTTTTGTTTGTTAATATGGTCTGCATTTTAGTGTTTTTATGTTTTTAAACCTGTGCTCCTCAGAAAAAGAGCAGTATAGAGATGATGATGAATAACTGCCCTTCCTGCTTCAGGATCTGGCTCCAGACAGGTGGGTCTTGCCTCAAATGCAGGGCCCATTAGATTCTGAGGTAATAGCAGGCGCATGAGCTGAGCATCTGGTTCCTTTCCATTTTTATGCATTGTGCTTTTGGGGGTGGGGAGGGCAGGGGCAGAAATGCTCCCCTTCCACCACGAATTCCTTCCCACATTTCAAAAGCAGAGTGTTTCTGGAAGTGCTTAGGATATGTATGTCCAGGTTGGGCAAAAGCCTCCCCTTGAATGCTTGGTAGGGTGAAAACCCTCAGGGCTCCTACCTGCCCAATCCATCAAGGGGAAGATATTGGGTTTCATGGCGCAGCATCCATAAAACCTAATTGTGGCGTCTCTCTCCCCCGCCCCCGGCAGACACTCAGTTTGGCCCAGCCAAATGCGCTCTCCTTTCAAGGAGGCCCAGTTTTCCTTGCCAGCCCTCAGACCTCTTGGTCAGACTCTCCATCATCTGGGAGGAGGAGTTCCACAAGGGAGAACCTCCCCTGGAGAAGCTTCCGAGATGAATTGGGTAGAGAAAATGTTAGCTCCCAGGCTGCAGAACTAGAAGCAAGTCCCCTGCTGCCTCCCCCCCTTTTTTTGTTCTGAACTCCTCTTTATTTTTCCTTACCCTACCAATACATGAGGAAAGCAGACTAGATGGACCTTTAATCAAATTCAGCCTGGTCCATATGTCTGTCATCATTTGCTTCTGGTGTAAAAGCTGGTCCATAGGGTTGTCCTTCTCCTTCTCCAAAGAACATTCCACAACCAGAGCACCACCAATTCTGAAAGCCTAATAGCCATAGCTGCAATCTATGGCAGTGCCAGAGACACCCTTTTGGGGTACCTGTGAGATAGACGCTGGACCTACCTTATTTTCTTGACTGCAATCTGTTTTAACTGCTTTTTAATATCACCTTTTATTTTTTTAAAAATATGAATTTATAAGAGTACAAAATACAGAAGTGAAGAACAAAAAAGAAAATTTAATATTGTCTTTTAAACCTGTTGAGGCCCTGGGACCTGAGGCTGAAAGGCTGGTAAGAAACCAAATAAACAGATCCCCATCAATAGATCACCAGGGGGCAACTTTTGACTGATGGCAAACACAATCCACAATTCAAAGTGTTGGTGCTGACCTTTAAAGCCCTAAATGGCCTCGGCCCAGTATACTTGAAGGAGCATCTCCATCCCCATTGTTCTGCCCGGAAACTGAGGTCCAGCTCCGAGGGCCTTCTGGCAGTTCCCTCCCTGCGAGAAGTGAGGTTACAGGGAACTAGGCAGAGGGCCTTCTCGGTGGTGGCACCCGCCCTGTGGAATGCCCTCCCATCAGAGATGTCAAAGAGATAAACAACTATCTGATGTTTAGAAGACACCTGAAGGCAGCCCTGTTTAGGGACGTTTTAATGGCTGACGTTTTAATGTATTTTTAATCTTTGTTGGAAGCTGCCCAGAATGGCTGGGGAAACCCAGCCAGATGGGTGGGGTACAAATATAATAATAATAATAATAATAATAATAATAATAATAATAATAAATCCTGACTATCAGAGAATGCAGGAACAGGAGGAAGCTGCCTTCTGCAGAGTTAGACCATTAGTCCATCTAGTCACTTTTGCCCACTCAGACTTCCAAGGGATCTGCAGGATGTTCAGGCTGGTGATCTTTCCCAGCCCTGCCTAGAGATTCCTTCTTCTTGCACCTGGAGTTGGACTCTGTCCCTGGTTTTTCAGTGGCAAAAAAACCCCCTTCTGCGTCTGCACAGAGGATTCACAGAGGAGAGGGCTCTCAATGGCTCCTAGCCACAAGGGCTGCTTCCACATTTGGAGGTATCAGGGCTTTGGATCCCAGCTGCTGGAAACCACAGGAGGGGAGAGTTGCTCTTGGGCTTGAATTCCACTTGCAGGTTTCCCACTGCGGCTTCTGGTTGGCCCTTGTGAGCACAGGGTGACCTGTCCCCTACCAGGCAGGTCTTTGCCCATGTGACCTGGGAGGATGCAGCCCGGACTGACTCCAGCTACAAAAGCTGAGGCTGATGAACAGATTCTTGGACTGGGGTATTGTTTAGGGTTTTTGTTGGTGGTGCTATTGATATTTAGTTTGTTATCTCTATGAAAAAAGAAATGGAGGCAGTGACAGATTTTACTTTCTTGGGCTCCATGATCACTGCAGATGGTGACAGCAGACGAAATTAAAAGATGCCTGCTTCTTGGGAGAAAAGCAATGACAAACCTAGACAGCATCTTAAAAAGCAGAGACATCACCTTGCCAACAAAGGTCCGTATAGTTAAAGCTATGGTTTTCCCAGTAGTGATGTATGGAAGTGAGAGCTGGACCATAAAGAAGGCTGATATCCGAAGGATGGATGCTTTTGAATTCTGGTGCTGGAGGAGACTCTTGAGAGTCCCATGGACTGCAAGAAGATCAGACCTCTCCATTCTGAAGGAAATCAGCCCTGAGTGCTCACTGGAAGGACAGATCGTGAAGCTGAGGCTCCAAGACTTTGACCACCTCATGAGAAGAGAAGACTCCCTGGAAAAGACCCTGATGTTGGGAAAGATGGAGGGCACAAGGAGAAGCGGACGACAGAGGACGAGTTGGCTGGACAGTGTTCTCAAAGCTACCAGCATGAGTTTGACCAAACTGCGGGAGGCAGCGGAAGACAGGAGTGCCTGGCGTGCTCTGGTCCAGGGGGTCGCGAAGAGTCAGACATGACTAAAGGACTAAACAACAACAATCTCTACTTTTAGATCTTCTTATGATAAGGAAATCGTTAATTATGTATTTTCCGTTTTTTATATTGTGATTTTATGTTGTGAACTGCCCTGAGATCTACGGGCATAGAGTGGTATACACATTTAATATAATAACAATAACAACAACAATAATAAGGTTGTGCACTTTTTGATGTGTTTTATTTATTGTTTCTATTTTTGTTCCATTTGCAATTATGTAATTTTTTTTCATGTTGTAAACCGCCTTGAGCACTTTGGAAAGGCAGCATACGAATCAAACGATGTTTGTATTTAGGACCATGATCTGCTCTTGATGGGCCACCGGCCTCACTCAGCAGATGTTTACAGGTCTCCTTCTATTTCCGATGTTCGGCTTGTGGCGTGCGGCTGCCAGAGTGCAGCCAGAACAGCACCACCCACGGACGAGAGCTTGGGGGAACTCCAAGCCCTGGGGAAGTTCCACTCCCACCCCCCACAAAAAAAACAAATAACATCCCAATGCAGAGGAGGATGGCGTGTGCTCCAGGGACACAGGAAAATGAAAAATGAGGGAAGCAGAGGGAGGGTGGCTGTGAAACCAAAGACCAGCAAGATGTTGACCACGATAAACAGCAGCCTTTTGTGGCAAGTCCCACAGGCCCTTCTCCTCCGTTGCTGCCGCTTTGGAGCCACGAGGAGCAGGAGGCGGTTAGGTTCCAGGGCAAAGCTGTCAACGTTTCCCCTTTTTTAAGGGAAATTCCCTTATTCCGAATAGGATTCCTCGCAAAAAAAGGGAAAAGTTGACAGCTATGTTCTGGGGAAAAGGGAGACAACCTCTCTGCATTTCCCTGGTGCAATTGGTAGCGCCCTGCGGAAAGACTTCCACCTTTTGCCTCCCTCTTCCGAATCGCCTTTCAGCCTCCTGATGTCCAGATGCTCAGATGTTCTGCCCTTGACCTCCTTGCTTCTCTCCTCCTCCTCCTCCTCTTCACAACTCCCCCCATCACACACACCCCCAAAGTGAAATTAGCTTACTGAAACATGTTTTCTTTTAGGAATCCGCAGCCTAATCCAGAACAAACAAAACACGTTTTCAGAAACCGCTGAACGCATGAACTCTTGCCCTCGCCTTGACCGCGGGTGCTTCCTCCTCCCCCCTCCACCCCACCAGCCCTTCCCTACTTCTCCCCCCCCCCGCACAACAAACATTACCATATGCCTGAGGTTTCCAAGGCATTTCTTTCCACTGACAGATACAATCTGCAACAAGGCAGACGCTGCAGACCTTTTTTTCCCCTTCTGACAACAACTGGAGGGGCAAGGGTTTATTCTTAATTTTCCTTCAATGGGTGTGGAACAAGTGGGACTGCGTGTCTTCGGGGGTGGTGGGTCTGTGTGTATATTTGTGAATGGTGCATAAAAGTGAGGGTTAACTGGCATGTGTCTCTTTGGCTAGACAGAAGTGCTGAAGAGTAGGAAGTGGCCCAACGTGTCATCGAATTGGAGAGTTGGAAGGGACCTCCAGGGCTCATCCAGTCCAGCCCCCTCCCATGTAGGAATCACAGCAGAAGAAACAGTCACTGGTGACCATCCAAATGCTGTTTGAAGGAGATGCTGTCACCTTCCAATGTGGCCCATTCCATTGTCAAATGACTCTTGGCTTCAGAAAGTTCTTCCTCATATTTGCTTCGTATCTGCTGTTTTGTCATTTGAATCAGTTCAGGTCCTCCCCTCTGCAGCAGCGGAAATCAGGCTTGTTCTATCTTGCATGTGACAGCCCTTCAGATATTTAAAGACGGCTGTCCTATCCTATTCTTAGTCTCCATGATCACTGCAGATGGTGACAGCAGCCACAAAAGTAAAAGACGCCTGCTTCTTGGGAGAGAAGCGATGGCAAACCTAGACAGCATCTTAAAAAGCAGAGACATCACTTTGCCAACAAAGGTGCGTATAGCTAAAGCTATGGTTTTCCCAGTAGTGATGTATGGAAGTGAGAGCTGGACCATAAAGAAGGCTGATCGCCGAAGAATTGATTCTTTTGAATTCTGGTGCTGGAGGAGACTCTTGAGAGTCCCATGGACTGCAAGAAGATCAAACCTCTCCATTCTGAAGGAAATCAGCCCTGAGCGCTCACTGGAAGGACAGATCCTGAAGCTGAGGCTCCAAGACTTTGGCCACCTCATGAGAAGAGAAGACTCCCTGGAAAAGACCCTAATGTTGGGAAAGATGGAGGGCACAAGGAGAAGGGGACGACAGAGGACGAGATGGTGGGACAGTGTTCTCAAAGCTACCAGCATAGAATCATAGAATCATAGAGTTGGAAGAGACCACAAGGGCCATCGAGTCCAACCCCCTGCCAAGCAGGAAACACCATCAGAGCACTCCTGACATATGGTTGTCAAGCCTCTGCTTAAAGACCTCCAAAGAAGGAGACTCCACCACACTCCTTGGCAGCAAATTCCACTGTTGAACAGCTCTTACTGTCAGGAAGTTCTTCCTAATGTTTAGGTGAAATCTTCTTTCTTGTAGTTTGGATCCATTGCTCCGTGTCCGCTTCTCTGGAGCAGCAGAAAACAACCTTTCTCCCTCCTCTATGTGACATCCTTTTATATATTTGAACATGGCTATCATATCACCCCTTAACCTCCTCTTCTCCAGGCTAAACATGCCCAGCTCCCTTAGCCGTTCCTCATAAGGCATCGTTTCCAGGCCTTTGACCATTTTGGTTGCCCTCCTCTGGACACGTTCCAGTTTGTCAGTGTCCTTCTTGAACTGTGGTGCCCAGAACTGGACACAGTACTCCAGGTGAGGTCTGACCAGAGCAGAATACAGTGGCACTATTACTTCCCTTGATCTAGATGCTATACTCCTATTGATGCAGCCCAGAATTGCATTGGCTTTTTAGCTGCCGCGTCACACTGTTGGCTCATGTCAAGTTTGTGGTCAACCAAGACTCCTAGATCCTTTTCACATGTACTGCTCTCAAGCCAGGTGTCACCCATCTTGTATTTGTGCCTCTCATTTTTTTGCCCAAGTGCAAGACTTTACATTTCTCCCTGTTAAAATTCATCTTGTTTGTTTTGGCCCAGTTCTCTAATCTGTCAAGGTCGTTTTGAAGTGTGATCCTGTCCTCTGGGGTGTTAGCCACCCCTCCCAGTTTGGTGTCATCTGCAAATTTGATCAGGATGCCCTTGAGTCCATCATCCAAGTCGTTGATAAAGATGTTGAATAAGACCGGGCCCAAGACAGAACCCTGTGGCACCCCACTAGTCACTCTTCTCCAGGATGAAGAGGAACCATTGATGAGCACCCTTTGGGTTTGGTCAGTCAGCCAGTTACAAATCCACTGCGTGGTAGCATAGTCAAGACCACATTTTACCAGCTTCTTTACAAGAATATCATGGGGCACCTTGTCAAATGCCTTGCTGAAATCAAGGTAGGCTACATCCACTGCGTTCCCTTCATCTACCAGGCTTGTAATTCTGTCAAACGAGATCAGGTTAGTCTGACATGGCTTATTTTTCAGAAATCCATGCTGACTATTGGTGATCACAGCATTCCTTTCTAGGTGCTCACAGACTGTTTGCTTAATGATCTGCTCCAGAATCTTCCCTGGTATTGATGTCAGACTGACTGGGCGGTAATTATTTGGGTCCTCTCTTTTCCCCTTTTTGAAAATAGGGACAACATTTGCCCTCCTCCAGTCTGCCGGGACTTCGCCTGTTCTCCAGGAATTCTCAAAGATGACTGCCAGTGGTTCTGAGATCACATCTGCCAGTTCTTTTAATACTCTTGGATGCAGTTCATCTGGCCCTGGAGACTTGAATACATCTAAACTAGCCAAGTATTCTTGTACTATCTCCTTAGTTATTCTGGGCTGTGTTTCCTCTGCTGAATCATTTGCTCCAAATTCTTCAGGTCGGGCATTGTTTTCTTTATCGGAGAAGACTGAGGCAAAGAAAGCATTGAGGAGTTCAGCCCTTTCTGTGTCCCCTGTTTGCATTTCACCATCTTCTCCTCTGAGTGACCCCACTGTTTCTTTGTTCTTCCTTTTGCTACGAACATACCCATAAAAACCTTTTTGTTGCTTTTAACCTCTCTAGCAAGCCTGAGTTCATTCTGTGCTTTAGCTTTTCTGACTTTGTGTCTACACGTGCTGGCTAGTTGTTTGAATTCCTCTTTGGTGGTGTCTCCCTTTTCCATTTTTGTACACATCCTTTTTAATCTTAACTCAGTTAAAACTTCTTTAGATAGCCACCCTGGCTTCTTTAGGCACCTTCCATGTTTCCGTCTCATTGGTATTGCCTGAAGTTGTGCTTTTACTATCTCCCTCTTAACAAACTCCCAGCCATCATGAACTCCCTTTCCTTTTAGTATTACTGTCCATGGGATCTCACCCAGCACTTCCCTAAGTTTTATGAAGTCGGCTTTCTTAAAGTCAAGAAATTGAGTCCTAGTATGCTTGGCTGCTCCTTTCCGCTGTATAGTAAACTTCAGAAGAGCATGATCACTCGCGCCTAATGATCCTTCCACTTCTACCCCACTAACCAGGTCATCAACATTGGTTAGGACCAGATCTAAAATGGCTGTTCCTCTTGTTGCTTCTCCCACTTTCTGGACAATGAACTTGTCTGCAAGGCCAGTGAGGAATCTGTTTGACCTTATGCTCTTGGCTGAGTTTGACATCCAACAAATATCCGGGTAATTGAAGTCCCCCATTACTACTATCTCCCTTCCTTTTGCATGCTTGGCCATCTGTTCCAGGAAGGCATCATCTATGTCCTCCGTTTGGCTTGGGGATCTATTGTAAACTCCCACAATGAGGTCACTGTTATTCTTCTCTCCCTTGATTTTGACCCAAATGCTCTCACTTTGGCTTTGAGGTTCTAAATCTTGGATCTCTTCACAGGTATACACATCCCTGACATATAACGCCATGAGTTTGACCAAACTGCGGGAGGCAGTGGAAGAGAGAAGTGCCTGGCGTGCTCTGGTCCAGGGGGTCACGAAGAGTCGGACACGACTAAATGACTAAATGACAGCAACAGCTGTCCTATCCACCCTCTGTCTTCTCTTCTCCAGACTAAACATTCCTCATATGTCTTGGTCTCCAGGCTCTCCGTTATCTTGAGGACTCTCTTCTGCCTGTTCCAGCTTGTCAATCTCCTTCTTTAACTGTGGCTCCCAGAATGGGCCACACGACTCCAGCTGCGGATTGAAAAGGACAGAAATACTATTCCCTTTGATCTGGATACTAGGCTTCTGTTGTCCTCTGCAGCACATTTCCTACACTGGATCCCTTGGCATGAATGATTGGTGCTCTCCATTTTCATGGCAAGTGTGTAGGACATGCTCTGCAGTTTCCTTTGTACTTTTTAATGTTTTAGATATGCTGTAAGCCTTCCAGAGTGGCTGGGGAAACCCAGACAGATGGGTGAGCTATAAATAATAAAATTGTTGTTGTTCCACGATAGAATTCAAGATGGCCTCCAGGATTACTTAAACTAAAAAGCTTAAACTAGCCTATCTAAGGTTCTCTTTTAAGATGCAAAGGGATGTACTTTGACAAACTCACAAACATGAGGAAAGGATAATAATTGCTAATAAATATCTCCTCTCCTGGCATCTATTCACATCCTTACATACCCACCCACATTTTCACAGTCTGGGGGTTCCTGAAACGGTAAATGGCAAGCTCTCCAAACACACTGTAGGGCTAAATCCAGGCTAAATGCGCCAGTTTCCTATTATGAGTCACAGAAAAGCAATCCTTGCCTTGTGATTCTCTATCGAGCGTTCGGCTGCCCTGACTGTGGGACTCAGCTGAGGACAGGGCTTGAAACGGACCCAAATTCTGACAAATGAGTGAGCGCTTTAAATGAAACCCAGATTGACGGTTGTTTTGGAGATGCCTTCGTGGTGTTTTGGGGGCGGCTGGCTTCCCGTTTTAGTACATCTGGAGCTGACCGAGGCCTGTGAATTCCGCTCGCCCTGCCTTGCGCAACTCAAAGTAATCTCAGAGTCGGCCAAAGGAAATGACTCCAAGGCGGCTTTGGTGACCTCTGTTTGGAGAAGAGATTGGCATCCTCTGTTTGGACTCTGGGTCTTGTAAGGCATTGTCACCGGAGGCTGAAGTCACCACCTTTGTGTCCTTTTCACCTCTGAGTCAGCTCACCAGATCCCCAACCCCATGGGAGAAGATCAGTGTTTGCCAGTTTACAAAGAAAGGAGGAGATGAGGGCATTTCCTGCTTCGTGAAGCATTTGGAGATGTGAGGAAGACGCGGAAGGAGACTCCTTTGAGCTGAGCCACACAGCCACCCCTTATTCCACACCAGATAAGAATGGAAGGTCATCCTAGAGGAATCTGCTGCATCAGGCCAGGGGCCTATCTGGTTCAGCAGCCTGTTCTCACATTGGTTGACCAGATGCCAGTGGGAAACCTCAGGCAGGATTTGAGCACAAGCACAAAAAAATGCAAGGGACACGGGTGGCGCTGTGGGTTAAACCACAGAGCCTAGGACTTGCCCATCAGAAGGTCGGCAAGTAGATAAATAGGTACCGCTCCAGTGGGAAGGTAAACGGCATTTCCGTGCGCTGCTCTGGTTCGCCAGAAGCGGCTTAGTCCTGCTGGCCACATGACCCGGAAGCTGTACGCCGGCTCCCTCGGCCAGTAAAGCGAGATGAGCCCCGCAACCTTAGAGTCATCTGCGACTGGACCTAATGGTCAGGCTGCATCAATAGGTGTCTAGTGTCCAGATCAAGGGAAATCATAATACTGCTCTACTCCACCATCTTCAGACCAAGCCTGGAGTCCTGTGTCCACTTCTGGGCACCACAAGGATGTCAACAAGCTAGAAAGTGTGCAGGGCAGGGGGAGCAACCAGGATGATCAAGGGCCTGGTGAGGAATGGTTGAGGGAGTTGGGCATGTTTGGCCTGAAGGAAACTAAGTGGTGATATGATAACCATCTTCAAATATCAAAAAGGCTGCCACGTGAAACATGGAGCAAGCTTGTTTTATTTATTTCCAATAACCCCCTAATTTTTTTTGCTGCTAGAGAGCAGGACCCAAACCAATGGATTCAAATGACAAGAAAATAGATTCTGACTAAACATTAGGAAGAGCTTTCTGATGGTTGGAGCTGCTCGATGGTGCAACGGACTCCCTCAGAAGGTGATGGACTCTCCTTCCTTGGAGGTTCTTAAATATAGATTGGATGATCATCTGTCAGGGATGCTTCCACTGGGATTCCTGCTTTGCAGGGGGTTGGAGCAGATGCGCCTCTAGTTTCCTTCGCACGTTACAAGTCTATGATTCTATGAAATGGGATTAGGCCAAGTCATGTAGGATGAACCTCTCAATGACCATAATGGCCCCGGCAACAGAGGCACCATATCTCTGAATACCAGTCCCTTGCAACCAACGAAGGGAAGCAGCATTGACGCACATGGCAGGGGTGGACTTTGATAATATGGCTCCCTGAATGTGGACAAAATTTGGCGCCCCTCCCTTAAATATTTCTTATTTTCACACTATAGTCATACCTTGGATCCCGAATGCCTTGGTACTCAGACATTTTGGCTTCCAAACGCCACAAACCCGGAAGTGAGTGTTCTGGTTTGCGAACGTTCTTTGGAACCTGAATGTCCGGAGGGGCTTCCATGACTTTTGATTGGCTGCAGGAGCTTCCTGCAGCCAATCAGAAGCCACACTTTGGTTTCTGAATGTTTTGGAAGTGGAACAAGACTTCCGGAACGGATTCCATTTGACTTCCAAGGTATGACTGTAGTTTATTTTGACACAGTTGTTTTTTATATATCTTATACCACGAGAATGTTGTTGTTGTTGTTGTTGTTGTTGTTGTTGTTGTTGTTGTTTTGCAGCCCCTTGGCTCAGCACCCTGTGTGGGAGAACTACCCATGCCACTCGAAATCTGGTGCTGCACATGGATTTCTTATGGGCTTCACACAGACACCTGCTTGCCCACTATGGCAAACTGGATGCTGGACTCAGTTGTCTTCCAACTGTGGGATCCTCTGATACCAAGAAAGGTGCTCTCAACGTCTTCCTTGAGCTGCAATCCCACACATTTTGCAGATTTCCAGATTTCTAATGAAATTGCAGTTGTAGGACTATGTACAAGGACTGGTATGCACATGTGCTGGGATTTTGCATAGCTGCCTAATAAGGAATTCCATAGACCCATTGCATCAGTCTAGCTTCTGCCAACCTTCTGTCTGGCATGTTTTGTCATGCCTGCAGATTGCAAACAGATCCTTCTACTTAGATAATGTTCATCAGAAGAAAGCCCCTAACTGTTTCTTGAGTTCTTTTTGGAGAATTCGTACGGCATCTTTTCCATTTCTTGGGAAAATAGATTCCTAACTAATGCGCCAGCTAGAGCTATACACATAATTTGACCGAGTCCCTGATCCTGAGACAGATCAGGCCTAGGAGGAGGGATCGGGGCCTTGCTCAAGTTGGGGTGAGAAAACTCTGGATTGTTCGAAGTTGAGTGGTCCAGACACATCAAGGCCATGGGGCAGGGAAGAGAGGCAAGCACAAGTGAGAAAGCTGAGAGACCACATGAAGGAGAGACCTACCAGGTGGTTGCAACTTAACCTCAGAAGAGCCTGCTGGATCAGGCCATTGACCCACCAAGTCCATCATCCTGTTCTCATGGTGGCCAACCAGATGCCCATTTTCGGAAAAACAAAAGAATATAAGAAGAGCCCAATGGCTTCTCTCGTTCAGCATCCTGTTCTCATGGTGGCCAACAGGCAAGACACATGGGCACAACTCTCCCACGTATGAACCTCCCCTGTCTCCAACCATGGATGCAGTATATCTTTCATGCCTCAATCTTTCAGTCCCTACACTTTGGAACTACCTGCCTTATGTAGGGATATCGCGGAGTGGGCAGTGGGGTCCGGAGGGAGCACACTCCCCACCAGCAGGCAGCCACAATCTGCCTGCACGCGTGACCCTGGGGTGCAGGGCACATCCCCCCCAGACAGGCCACAGCTGTCTGAACATCGTTCCCTCTGTCTGACCTTTTGCGGTCTCAGCAGTCTGTGGTGTCCTGTCTGTAAGCTTTGTCCCTGAGACCTTTTGTCTCCTTCGTCATACACTGTGCAAGGGGAAAATGACGTGGTGGTAACAGGTGCCAAAATAACTTTGTACTACCCCTCGACCTCGGGACTGGAAGATGTGTAAAGGTCACAGCCCAAAATGTATTTGCCTGGCTTGCATATTTGTCTCAATAAAAGGAGGCTCCACAGGACTGGTCAGCAGCTCGCATGCAGCCCACCTGTGCGCAGCTCACATGATGATCAACACCTGTCTTGTGCCTTCACTTCAGCCTTAAAAGCTCTTTTCACACAAGGTCTGCTTCAGTTACCTGGCGCAAGAAGATCTTTTGAACTCTCTGCCTCTGTGTTTCTAAGGGGATGATTTGAATGGACATGATTTTGCATATATGTGGGACCCTTGGAAGCAAACCCCCGCAAGAGAAGCCACCGTTATTGAGAAGAAGTGTTCTTATGCTCAGTAATGATCACATGACCTAAGAGAATGCATTCGTTGCAGGAAATATGGTGATGATAATGAGCCGAATGGTTGCAAGCAGAAGAATCTGCCTATAGCCATATATAGATATATATTCAGAATGATTGGGCAAGACAACACATGGCTGGAGAAACCTATTGGCTGTAGGCAGTTCTTTTCTGGATGTTTCGTAGAGAAGCTGCATGAAAGCAGTCATCTTCCATCCATCTGCTGCCTCCTGGAAGGCTTCCCTCAGGTTCATGAACTTCCTGCATGCCTCCACAGAATGGGTCACTGTGCACACACAGACAGCTTGCTCACAGATGATTCCACGAACTCTGGCTGGATTCCTGGACTCTTCCACTTTTACAACCTTGTTTATCAATGAGCTACACAGATGAGCGCCAGTCAGCGCCTCCCCTACACACAATGTTTTCCTTGCACAGAGGCAATTTCTTGCAAATCTTCTCTTCTGCCTGGGCATGCCTGGAGCATCAGGCCTGCAGTCCTCTCTGCTTGCTTACCTGGGAGTAGGGGAGGGAAGAGAAATTTGGCATGGCATTTAAAGTTGTACCCATACCTAATTCGCATTTCATGAAAAATTGCACGAACCGAAACGCAGCCACCCTTTGAAATTTGCCTTCTCCGAATTCTGCAACGCATATCTCCAGTAATGTGCACAAAATTATGTGCATATAGTATGGTAAGGTGTGTGAATAATTGCAGGTATTAGTAACATAACATGCTAAAATGCATTATATTAGGGCATATTGCGTTGTAAAAATATGTGCAGAAGTTCACATTGAGGTGGGTGCCCTCTGTCCTGGATGCTTCAGCTGAGATTCCTGCCTTGCAGGAGGTTAGGCTACATAACCTTTTAGTCCCTTCCAATTCTACAATTCTATGATTCTGTGACATGGAGATGAATTTTCATGGAAATCATTTTTTGGCCGGAAAACTACATTGCAAAATTCAGGTGAATTTTCAAGGCTGGCCAAGTTTCAGTTCTTGTCTCATTTCAGGAACTACAAGTTTTGTCAAATCAACAGAATTGAACCGAAGGTCTTCTCCATCTCTAATCATGAATATCTCACCCCATTGAGTTCACTGGAAGTGCAGTTCAGTTCACATGGTCTGGACTCAGGCCATGACTTTAGGGTTAAAAAGGTAAAAGACCCCTGACAGTTAAGTCCAGTTGCGAACGACTCTGGGGTTGCAGCCCTCATCTCGCATTATTGGCCGAGGGAGCCGATGTTTGTCCACAGATGTTTTTTCCAGGTCATGTGGCCAGCATGACTAAGCCACGTCTGGCGAACCAGAGCAGCGCACGGAAACGCCGTTTACCTCCCCGCCAGAGCGGTGCCTATTTATCTCCTTGCACTTTGATGTGCTTTCGAACTGCTAGGTTGGCAGGAGCAGGGACCAAACAACGGGAGCTCACCCCGTTGTGGGGATTTGAACCGCCAACCTTCTGATCGGCAAGCCCTAGGCTCTGTGGTTTAACCCACAGCGCCACCTGCATCCCCCTTATCTTCTTATATTATACTAAATGGCCAACTGTCAAGGATTCCTTAGCTGTGATTCTTGCATTGTAGGGGCTTGAGCTCGTTGACTCTTGGGAATTCCTTCCAACTCTAGAATTCTCGGATTCTATGATACATGCAGCACCTGCTTGCGCCATTGGCAAGACCAGAGCAATGGACACAAACCTTTAACCTTGACGACCTGCGCTAAGATCGAAGGGGGTTTCTTTTGCTTCCACGCAGCGACTATTTTCGACTGAAATTGTTTCTACGCCGTACAGCGAAAACCCCCATTTCCCAGAAACGCTTCTGGGCGGAAAAGTCTTTTCAGAGCCAGGTTGATTTTCAACACACACACACACACACACAGAGAGAGAGAGAGAGAGAGAGAGAGAGAGAATTTAGCCAGGCCATTGGAACCAGAAGGATTTGGGGAGGGTTGGTGGAGGGGTTGAATGTCAAGGGGTGGAAATGACCTTTGTGCATGGCAACCCTCCAGAGCCACTCTGACCGGTGGAGACACAGAGAGGCAATGTCTTGTGAACCGAGGGAGGCGAGCTTCACTGAGCCTGTTTTCATCCAAACTATCTTGGTGGCACTGAGTTTTGGCCGTGATCTGCGCCCGGGATTTAGTTCATGAGACACCGAGGCACCAGGAAACAGTTTGGAAAGAACCTTTTTCTTTTCCCCCCTCAAAGGTATTTTTTTTCTATTAAGCCAAAGGATGGAAACAAATTATTTTCTGAAACCGGGAACCCTTTCAGTGTTATTTCTGGCACTCGGCTCCTTTCCAAGTCAATTCCCTTTCAAGGTGGAAAAAGTCAATTCTTGGAGGTTTCGTAACAAGCTCTGGGGACTGGAAGGTTTGCGGTCGCAGAGGACAAGGAGGCTGGATGGGCGCGATTCACCGAACAAGTTAGAATGACAAGGGAGAAAGAAGTAAACTCAAACTGGATCGGTAGTATTAAGAGCAACAACAAGGGTTGAAAGGGGGTCATGGGGGGTTACCCCCTCTTTGTCAATGTCAAGGAGTCTAAATAATAATAATAATAATAAAATTTTATTTATACCCCGCCATTCCTGGTTTAAAAACTGGGTTCAGGGCGGCTAACAGCAAATATAAAACATTGATTAAAATGTGACTTAAAAACAGCATAAAATACAACATAAAATGCAGCATCAATATCAATAAAATTCAAAAATTCAGGGGTCATGGGGGGCGGGAAACCCAGTCAGTAGACATCAAGTGATCACCAAGGCTAACTGGCCAAGCTGGTCCTACTAGGGCCAGCGAGGAGACCAGGGAAGAATTTAAATGTGGGGTCCCAGAAAGGGTTTCTTCCTAGAAGGGGAAAGGGAAAAGGGAATAGAGGATCAGGCTAATTCAAATTGAAGGCCAGGCGGAATAGCTCTGTCTTACAGGCCCTGCGGAACGAGATCAAGTCCTGTAGGGCCCTAGTCTCCCCATGTCCTAAATCTGTTGGTTCAGGTTTTATTCAGGGGGTAGAACCTGAAACAACGGATTCCAAAGGCAAGAAAGGAGATTTTGACTAAACATCAGGAAGAACTTTCTGAGGATAAGAGCTGTTCAACCGGGGAACAGACTTTCTTGGAGGTTTTTAAGTTGGGTGGCCATTTGTCAGGATGCTTGAGCTGAGATTCCTGCACTGCAGAGGGTCAGACTAGAGAACCCCTGTTGGCCCTTACAACTCTACGATTTTATCATTCTAAATCTCAGTTATCCATCTGTAAACTGGAAATAATCATAACTTGCTTTGAAGGTTTGGTTTTGCTTGCTTTGTTTTTAAAGCAAACACTCCAAAACCCAGAAAGAAAGCCATTCTTTCTGTGGAAATGATTAACTGCTTTTGGAAGAAGCCTTCTCGGTTACCTCCAGACAGGACAAATGTGATAAACGCCATCAGATGTGTAAAAAGAAAAAAAAGCGCCATATAATTGACTGGTTGGCACCGCACTCGGGCGTAGCACTCTGGGAGGAAGGCGCTTAAGAATCGCTAAGGTGTGGCCGAAGCGAAACACAAATTCCCTCCCGCCCCACGGCCTGCTTTCCTGAGATGATGGAAAGATTTGTGTCAGCTCTGGTTTGGAAGCCGCCGTAAGCCATCCATGGCTGCGCAAAGTGCTCTTGGCTCCGGCCGTGATGTGGTGAGCTCTGGTGAGGCCGGATCAGTGCCGCGGCAGAGTCGGGGGGCTCTTGAGCAAAGGAGAAACGAGGTGAGAGGAGTCAGCAGGAGCCTTCCGAGCGGAGGGGGGACGCTTCGCTGAGCGCAACTCTGAAGGAGTAACTGGAAACAATTTAGTCTCGTCGAGGGACCTCCAGCCTCCGCCAGATCGGCAGCTCTGGGCAAAAGTCCAGGATCCCGCATAATGGGAAACAGCAGCAACTGATAAGCAAAAGTGATCATGCTAATGATGATAGGAACAATAGGGGGAGGCTTGGAGAGCTACTGCTCTGGCAGGCTCCAGCTCCTGGGAGCGACGGCAAAAGCCTCACGCTCTGCAGCTCCTCCACCAAGACGCTGATGGATGCTGGCAGGCAGGCCCAAAGTGGACCATGGGAATGGCTAACATGGGATTCCGAAGGTCCCTGCATGGAGAGAGGTGAGGACGCCGTCTTGGGGTATCAGCTGGAGGACACCAGCGGTTCTCAACCTGGCGCTCTCCGGATATTGTCCGACCACAACTCCCATCAGTCCCACCCAGCCAAAAAGGCGAGGAAGAGACGACATGGTGGAAGCTTCTAAAATGATGCCTGGAGAAAGAGGATAGAGAGATTTTTTTCTCCCCTCTCTCCTAATTTTAGAACTCGGGGACATCCAGGGAAGCTCCGTGTTGGACTGATAAAAGGAAATAGCTTCTCCAGGCAGCGCTGAGTTAATCTATGGAACTCACTCCCCCTGGAGACAGGGATGGCTCCCAGCTTAGATGGCTTTAAAAGTGGATTAGGCTAATAATAATAATAATAACAATTATTATTATTATTATTATTATTATTATTATTATTATTAATACCCTGCTGATCTGGTTGGGTTTCCCCAGCCACTCTGGGCAGCGCCCAACAGAAAATTAAAATAAAATAGTCTATTAAACATTAAATGCTTTCCTAAACAGGGCTGCCTTCAGATGTCTTCTAAAAGTCTGGTAGTTGTTTTTCTCTTTGACATCTGCTGGGAGGGCGTTCCATAGGGTGGGTGCCACTACTAAGAAGGCCCTCTGCCTAGTTCCCTGTAACTTGGCCTCTCACATTGAGGGAACCATGAGAAGGCCCTCGGCGCTGGACTTCAGTGTCCGGGCAGAACGATGGGGGTGGAGATGCTCCTTCAGGTATACTCTGGTTTCCAGAGCTTTGATCATCTTGGCTGCCCTCTTCTCCACACCTTACAGCTTGTCAACATCCTTCTTGAATTGTGGTGTCCAGAACCAGACACAGCACTCCAGGTGTGGTCTGACCATGGCAGAATACAGTGGGACTATGACTTCCCTTGACCTGGACACTAGACTTCCATATTCACATTTGTTGCTCTGGCCCCTGGCATTTCATAGAATCATAGAATCATAGAGTTGGAAGAGACCACAAGGGCCATCGAGTCCAACCCCCTGCCAAGCAGGAAACACCATCAGAGCACTCCTGACATATGGTTGTCAAGCCTCTGCTTAAAGACCTCCAAAGAAGGAGACTCCACCACACTCCTTGGCAGCAAATTCCACTGTCAAACAGCTCTCACTGTCAGGAAGTTCTTCCTAATGTTTAGGTGGAATCTTCTTTCTTGTAGTTTGGATCCATTGCTCTGTGTCCGCTTCTCTGGAGCAGCAGAAAACAACCTTTCCCCCTCCTCTATATGACATCCTTTTATATATTTGAACATGGCTATCATATCACCCCTTAACCTCCTCTTCTCCAGGCTTAGGAGGACTACCCAGAAGAGAATGTGGCCCTTGGGTTGAAAAGGTCCCCCACCCCAAATCAACAGTTGCAGAACCACTAGGAAAGAATCATATCATGCCTTTCCTGTATAAGGGCAATTGACCTCATTCTTTGATGAGGAGGAGGCCCCACTCCCAGACATGGCAGAGATAATGCTCTTGGATCCTGGAGTCTTTCTCGGTCTCTCCTATCAATGGGCCTGATATGTGGGACTGCTCCCAAGGGGCCGAGTTTGGGGTGACTTCATCTGTTATCCTTAGAGCTGCACAGCTTGCTACAACCGGGTTTGGCTCTCAGATCTCCTTCCCTGTTCGCGATTAGAACTATTTTCTTTAGCAAAGACTTTAGTGGTCAATGTGGGTTCATTTTTCTTACCCTTTAATCGAGGTTACTTGATGAATGCATGCAGTAATCTCTTCCTTGAGTTCCTGGACATAAATCACTCGCTAACGAGAATTTGTGGCACAAGAACAGAGGAGCCCACAAGGCAATGATGGAATCGACCAGTGGGGATGTGTTGTGTGTGTGTTGTGTGTGTGTGTGTGTGTGTTTCTAAAGGGACTATGGGGATCAGGCTGGGCCGGTTCCACACTGATAACTCACAACATAACAAAAAATGTTGGGTTGTGCTTTTCCACTCACACACCCCGCCTTTCTTTCTTTCTTTTTTTGTCTCAGAAATTGTAGGGTAATGATTAGTCCATATGCACAAGATAGAAAACAAACTATTTCCATTTTAGAACGTGCCGGTGGCTTATGCAGGAGGGTCATTGATATAGAACTTGCTCCCCAACACTCTCCTTGTGAGCCACGGGTGGATGAAATGGACATTTTGACATCTTCCACAGTTTTCGGTTGAGAGAAAAGGCAGATCAGAGGTGGCGTGATGGACGTTTGCAAAATTATGCCTGGCGTAGAGAAAGCAGATAGAGACAAGTTCCTCTCCCTCTTCCCTAACAGTAGAACTTGTGGACATGCAAGGAAGCTGAACGTTAGGAGATTCAGGACAGATAAAATAAAGTCCTTCTTCACACAGCACAAAGCCAAACCATGGAACTGCCTGTCACAGGAGACAGTGATGGCCACCGACTGGGATGGCTTTAATATAATATATAATAATAATTTATTCTGTATACCCTGCCCATCTGGCTGGGATTCCCAAGCCACTCTGGGCGGTTCCCAATAAATGCTAAAAACAATACAGCATTAAAAACTTCCCCAAACAGGGCTGCCTTCAGATGTCTTTTAAAGATAAGATAGCTGCTTATTTCCTTGACATCTGGTGGGAGGGCGTTCCACAGGGTGGGTGCCACTACTGAGAAGGCCCTCTGCCGGACCTCAGTGTCTGGGCTGAACGATGGGGGTGGAGTCGCTCCTTCAGGTATACTGGACCGAGACCGTTTAGGGCTTTAAAGGTCAGTACCAACACTCTGAATTGTGCTCGGAAACATACTGGGAGCCAATGTAGATCTCTCAGGACCGGTGTTATGTGGTCCTGGTGGCCACTCCCAGTCACCAGTCTAGCTGCCGCATTCTGGATTAATTGCAGTTTCTGGGTCACCTTCAAAGGTAGCCCCACGTAGCGCGCATTGCAGTAGTCCAAGCGGGAGTTAACCAGAGCATGCACCACTCTGGCGGGACAGTCCGCGGGCAGGGAGGGTCTCAGCCTGCGTATCAGATGGAGCTGGTAGACAGCTGCCCTGGACACAGAATTGACCTGTACCTCCATGGACAGCTGTGAGTCCGAAATGATTGTGCACCTGGTCCTTCAGGGGCACAGTTACCCCATTCAGGACCAGGGAGTCCTCCACACCAGCCCATCCCCCGTCCCCCTAAGACAGTACCTCTGTTTACTTTAAAAGACAAGTAGACAGACTCATGGAGGAGGAGGAGAGGGTTATTGATGGCTACAAGCTATGATGGCTCTGCTCTGCCTCCACAACTGGAGTCAGCTATGCTTCTGAACACCAATTGCTGGAAACCACAGGAGGCGAGAGGGCTCTTGTGCTCAGCTCCAGCTTGTGGGCTTCCTACTGAGGCATCTGGATGAGTCCCCCTTCTCATGATTTTATGAAGCCTCAAAGATGCTTTCCTCTGACCCACCAAGCTCCAGCCAAAGCAAAGCTCCGGCTTTCACACTTCTTTAGAAGGGAACTTGGATGGTGTGACTGTATGCATGCTTTTCCAAAGGATATTTACACCATGCTCCCTGGGCCTTACTCACTGGTAGCATGCAGAGGGTTGCAGAATCGAGGTATATATGTGAGTCTTACGGTGCCTATAACCCAGTGCAGAACATGACCACTTATATATTTGGTGTGGAGAACATGCTCAAGGGCAAGCTTTTCCACCCAAAGAAGCTGAATTTTGGAAGATTCAAGAAAGGCAAAAGAAAGCACTTCTTTACACAGCGCATAGTTAAACTATGGAGTTCACTCCCTCAAGGGGTTGAGATACCCACCAGCTTGGATGTCTTTAAAAGAAGGTTAGACAAACTCATGGAAGATGAGGCTATCACAATGGCTTTTGCACTACAGGACTGTCCCTTATTGAGTTTCTATCATTTGGGAAACCGAGGGCAAATGTGTGTGTGTGTGTGTTTGTGTGTGTGTGTGTGATTTTCAGAACTAGTGTGTGTTTTGGTGTTTCCTTTGGTGTGTGTGTGTCTAAAGGTAAACTTCATCTCCAGTTGCCCTGCCTGAATTAAGACTACACAAGGCAAGCTTTCAAAAACTACTGAATTGGTTTGGCGCACAGCCAGCTCTTGATTCTTGAAATATGGCTGTCCAGGGGATCATATAGTTGGAAGGGCCTCATTGATCCCCTCACCCATCCCCAGCCAAAGGAAGGATGGGCACTCTATTCCTCCAACATTCCCAGGCTGCCATTCTAAGGATGGAGGTTCCTCACTTATCTTATCCATTTAGAAGACTTGTATCTTGCTTTTCTTGTAGGGAGGCAAAGTGGGCTAGAATAAATACTGTAATTAAGGCTGCAGTCCTGCATAGCAAATTACCTGGGAGTAAGTAACATATGGTGATGTATGGAAGTGAGAGCTGGACCATAAAGAAGGCTGATCACCAAAGAATTAATGCTTTTGAATTATGGTGCTGGAGGAGACTCTTGAGAGTCCCATGGACTGCAAGAGATCATACCTCTCCATTCTGAAGGAAATCAGCCCTGAGTGCTCACTGGAAGGACAGATCCTGAAGCTGAGGCTCCAAGACTTTGGCCACCTCAGGAGAAGAGAAGACTCCCTGGAAAAGACCCTGATGTTGGGAAAGATGGAGGGCACAAGGAGAAGGGGACGACAGAAGACGAGATGGCTGGACAGTGTTCTCAAAGCTACCAGCATGAGTTTGACCAAACTGCGGGAGGCAGTGGAAGACAGGAGTGCCTGGTGTGCTCTGATACATGAGGTCAGGAAGAGTCGGACACGACTAAACGACTAAACAACAACAAAGTGACATTGAACTCAGTGAGAGTGACATCTGAAGCAGACAAATTTAGGATTCTTTTGTAAGGAATTTGTGGTGTAAATAGAAACTTTGAAGCTGCTTTTTGTCAGTACCTTTCACATATAGAGAATTATATATAGGGAATTAGCTACATCAGTTGCCTCCAACCTGATGGCCCTCAAGATGATTATCAGTTCCTAAAATTTTTTGTCTGGCTGGGACTGATGGGAGTTGTAGACCAGGTTGAGGAGAGCTGGTCAACCTCTGTTGATTCCTCAAGATGGAGTCCTTACCTTTCTCCATATAGTGACCCACCACTTGGTCCAGCCTCCAGGTGGGGCCCTTCCACCCTGTTCCTCATTTCCCATGCTTTTAATGAATGACCACAATGCCCATTAGGAGCATCACGAGTGATATTATCTCCACTGCCATCACGGTCAACACACTATATCACAAGAGCCAGTCCGGCATTGTGGTCAGCGTGCTGACCTAGGACCCAGGAGACTAGGACTTGGCCACAAAGCTCACTGGTGTGACCCACCTCGCAGGGTTACTTTGGGGATTAAATGAGTAGGGAGAAACATGTACGCCACCTCAAGCTCCTTGGGGGAGAAAAAAGTGGGCTAGAAATGCAGGGAATAAATAAATAACATTTTATAGTCTCTGCTGTGTCTGTCAAGGGACTCTCACCCCTGGTTGAAAACAAGTGCATGACCCTTTCTGAACTTCTGGCAGTTCCAGCTGTTTTTGCTTTTGTGCAGAATTTATTTGGTGACGAAGAGGTTCTTTTCTGCAGAGATGAGGAGCCTGTGGTCCTCCAGATGTTCTTGGACTCCAGCTCCCATCAGCGCCAGCCAGAATGGTTGGTGGTCAGAGATGATGGGCGCTGGCGTATAGAAACATCTGCTCCCCACCCTTGATTTCTGGCTTCGCTCGTCTTCTTCCACACAAAACCTGGCTGTTATCTGCCCCCACCCCACCCCGCCCTCGGGTCCCCTGCTCTCACTTCCCTCTTCCTCCAGTTCCCTTGCATGCTTGTATTTCGAAATTTACAAATGGAGTGCGAGCCTGAATTCCCCCCCCCCCCAGATTTATAGACTTTTGAAGAGAACATTTGTTCCATTCCTACCCATGTGTGTTTCATTATAAAACAAGTTCAAGCAACCAAATCATGAAAAGGAGAGGCAAGAAAAAATATATCCATTCAATGAAAACTTGGGCCTAAGATCCTGAAGATTTACTTGCAAGTAAATCTGTTTGCACTTCAGACCTAGATTCGCATGGGACTGGGGCCTTGATCCTTCTGCTCTTGGCGCTTGGTGGAGCTCTCCCACCACCAACCCCTGGAGTGCTCTTTCCATTTCCTGTTCCTCTCCTTCTACATCCTGAATCATTCTCCTGGAAGGGCTGTCCCTCTCTCTCGGTGGTTTGGTGCCAAGGAGAGCAACAGTGCAGGGCAGCAAGTAAATAGTTTGGAAGTTTGCGGTGAAAGAGAAGGCCATATTTATTGTGGAGGGCTCAAAGAAAAAATGTGTCAAAAGGCAGACCGGGTTCCCACACAAGCGTTCCTTGTTTGTCCACAGAGGACCATGATTAGAAACATACAAGTTGGACGCAGCAGCTCAGAATCTTGGAGAAGTTCCTTCGACGGATGTTCTGGCAAGCGAGAATTGCTTGGCATGGTCCTGGCAGAGCTTCCAAGGTTCAGGAAATGATGTTGAGCAGAAAAACGCCATGGAGGATAATCATCCGCCGAGGGGAGGGGCGGGGGCGCCAAGGACGGCTGGAAAGGACTTCCGCCCCCAGACAAAAGCTTGGAAAGGAATGGGAAATTGCTGCAGCTCTGAAAAATATTGGTGGGGGAAGTATGCATTGACCCCAGGATGCATTTAGGACCCCAGTTTGGTGTTTTGGAAAGAAAGAAAGAAAGAAAGAAAGAAAGAAAGAAAGAAAGAAAGAAAGAAAGAAAGATGAATTGGCTCAGAGGGTTCACGTCCACTTCATTCCCCACTCCCATTCATGATTGGGACATCAAAAAAAGTGCTATAACTCCCCCCCCTCTTTTTAACAGAAATGGATAAAATTTGCAGGCAGTGTAGCATCTCCAGAGTGCATAGAGCCTGCCAAATTGTAAATATGCTTCCTTGCTTGCTTGCTGGTTGGTTGGTTTAATTTAATCCCAATTTTTTCCCTCCGGGCTGCTTACATGGTTCTTTCTCTCCTCATTTAATCTGCACAGTGACCCTGTGAAGTAGGCTAGGCTCAGAGGCAGTGGCTGCCCCCCCCCCCCGAGGTCACACCCTGGGAACTTCATGTCTGAAGTGAAGAATATCTCTTTAAAAGCCGGTTTTAAATCTGCTAAATAAAGAAGCGTGTTCCGCAAATACAGTCCTAAACCTGTTTGCTCAGAAGCAAATCCCTTTCAGTAGGGATTGCACCCAAGTAACTATGCAAAACAAAACAAAACAAAACTTGAAAAATATTATTATTATTATCATCATTATTATTATTTCTTATACCCCACCTATTTGACTAGTTTACCCTAGCCACTTTGGGCGGCTTCCAATGAAAATGAAGGAACAAGAACAAGAAGCAGAACAGCACAACAGCAACAGTGGTGACAGCAGTAGCAGCAGCAGCAACAACAACATCTAACATTAAAAGCTTCCCGAAATAGGGCTGCTTTCAGAAGTCTACCAAAGAATTATATAGTTGTTTAATTCTTTGACATCTGCCAGGAGGTCAATCCACAGGGCGGGTGCAAGTAACTGAGTTGTGTGGTTTCTGACAGTTTGTACAGTTGCCTTTGTATAGTTCCTTCCATTGCCTTTCCTATTGCTTTTAAATAATAATAATAATAATAATAATAATAATAATAATAATAATAATTTATTACTTACACCCCACCCACCTGGCTGGGTTTCCCCAGCCACTCTGGGAGGCTTCCAACTGAATATTGAAAACAATACAGCAATACCTTCTGTTCTGAGCCACAATACTCCCCGATGAAGAATGGTCGCAGCATTTGGGATTTTTCGATTTAGAGAAAAGCTGAGTAAGTGGGGGGGGGGGACGCGGCAGAAGTTTATAGAAATTATGCACAGTGTAGAGAAAGTGGATAGCAAAAAAGTTTTCCTTCCTCTCTCGTAACACTGGAACTCGTGGCCATCCCACGAAGGGAAGATTCAGGACAGAAACACTTCACGCAGTGCAGAGAGTTAATCTGTGGAACTCCCTGCCACAGGCGGTTCTCGATGGCTCCAAGTCAGGATACCTCTGCTCTGCTGCTATGGTCAGAGGCAGAAATACTTCTGAATGCCAGACGCTGAAAACCAGGGAAGGGGAGAAGACTCTGGTGTTCAAATTTTCCTTGTGGCTTTCCTACAGGGCAGGCATCTGATGAGCTGCTAGGAGAACAGGATGTTGGACTAGTCGGGCCATTGGCCCAATCCAACAGGCTCTTTTTATGTTCTTATGAGATTGGAGCAGGGAACAAGAACAACAACATTTATTAAAAAGGTAAAGGGACCCCTGACCATTAGGTCCAGCCGTGACCGACTCTGGGGTTGCGGCACTCATCTCGCTTTATTGGCCGTACAGCTTCCGGGTCATGTGGCCAGCATGACTAAGCCGCTTCTGGCGAACCAGAGCAGTGCACGGAAACGCTGTTTACCTTCCTGCCAGAGCGGTACCTATTTATCTACTTGCACTTTGACGTGCTTTTGAACTGCTAGGTTGGCAGGAGCATGGACCGAGCAACGGGAGCTCAACCCTTCATGGGGATTTGAACCGCCGACCTTCTGATCAGCAAGTCCTAGGCTCTGTGGTTTAGACCACAGCGCCACCCGCGTCCCTATAATATTTATTATTTAATATCAAAATGAATTAAAAATGTATATTATGACCATTGTTGAACAGTATTTTTAAAGGAATATAGACAGACAACAAGATTTGTATATATAGAAAGATTTATTTGTTTACAGACATTTCATGGACAAAGTGGAAGAAGAACAATTATATATAAAATGGACAAAGACAATGCGAAAAGTTAAAGATGACATAAAAAAGCCGGAAGAAGGAAGGAGGGAAGTCAGCTTGGGAAAGCAAGAACAAATGTAATATATAATGTAATATGTGTATGTATAGTATGTAATTAAAAAAATCAATAAAGATCATCTTTAATAATAATATAATTTATTTACACCCCACCCATCTGGCTGGGTTTCCTCAGCTACTCTGGGCGGCTCCCAACAGAATATTAAAAACACAATAACGCATCAACCATTAAAAATTTCCCTGTACAGGGCTGCCTTCAGATGTCTTCTAAAAGTCATATACAGTGGACCCTCTGGATATGAACTTAAATCATTCCGGGGGTCCGTTCACACCCCAAAAATTACATAAATAGACCTGCGCTTTTGGGCATGCACACGCCATGATCGAGCGCTTCTGCGCATGCACGCGAGGTGAAACCCGGAAGTATACACTTCCGGCGTTGCCGTGGCCGTAACCCAAAGATTCCATATCCAGAGGGATATGTAAGTAGAGGTACGACTGTTTATTGCCTTGAGATCTGATGGGAGGGTGTTCCACAGGGCGGGTGCCACCACTGAGAAGGCCCTCTGCCTGGTTCCCTGTAACCTCACTTCTCGCAGGGAGGGAACCGCCAGAAGGCCCTCAGAGCTGGACCTCAGTCACTGGCCTAAACGATGTGGGTGGAGACACTCCTTCAGGGTTTACAAAGGGTTAAAGCCCCTCATGCCCCCCTATGTGGATCAGGGACCCATCCTGTTAATTTGTGTGGAATCTCTGATTCATGGGCTAAACATGAACCATGCAGATAACAGTCTGGTCCTGTGCCCCTATTCATCTTTTCCAAGAATTGCAGTGCTACAAAGGGGCTGAAGGGGTCATCCAGCCCAACCCCTGCCATCCTTCCACCGCTTCTCAGATTCAGTCTTTCTTTCCATCTTCACACACATCCTTTCCTAGTTTGCTCTCTCTTCTCATTGCACAGCCGACATTTTTATTCCAGAAGCGACCCATCTTCTGCCACCGACTCACTTTATTCGTTTATTTTATTCATAACCATGTTTTATATAGCACTGTGTCATAAAAATAATAATATCACAGCGGTTTGCAAGAATATAGAAATGTAAAACCAGACAATAAAACCATAAAACTTATAAAGTAAGTTGAAAGCTAGAATAAATAAATAAATACATTGTGGAAGGATGTCTTCTGCCTTGCCTGCAAAGTCCTGGAAGAATTGAAACATTTCCAGCAGGGATTTGAAAGCTGGCGGAGAAGGCACCTCCTGCTGAATCCCCAGTGGCAAAGAGTTCCACAGGACTGGCCCATTGACACTAAAGACTTGGTTTCTCATTGTCATCAAATGAATTCCACCAACTCCAGGAATGACCAGCAATGCTCCTGCAGATAAACTCAGTTCGGGGAATCCCTGAGCTATCCTGAACCTACGATTACATTGTTCAGGGCTTTGCTTTTTTTATATAAAAAAATTATTGGGTTTTTGATATTTTTATGCATATAAAACAAAACAATTTCAAACATTAAAATACAAGGTTCTTTTGAACCTTCAGGCCTCCTTCCCTCCCTCCGTGAGTTCCATATTTAGATTTAAGTTTACTGCATCTTTTATCCATCTATTAAATAACCATCATTATCATAAATAATTCCATGTTACACGTGTCATTACATCCCTGCCAAAGGTTCTAACTGTTTACAGTGGTCTTTTAAATAAATTGCAGATTTGCTCCAGTCTTTAGAAAACACAGTACATGATCTTCCTGGTTTCGAATCTTCCCCGTCAGTCTTGCCATCTCCTCATACTTCTTCAGTTTTGTCGGCCATTCTTCTTCTGTTGGTTCTTCTCCTTCCTTCCATCTCTGGGCTAAAACTCTTTAATCTTCTCTTGGTAGCTCTTCACCTATTATACCTAGTAAGAAGGCTTCTGGTTTTTTTAAGAAAGGTATTTTTAAACATTTTCTTTAGTTCCTTATATATAATTTCCCAGAAAGCCTTTACCAGTGTACATATCCACCACATATGGTAAAAATTCCTCCTTCTCTTTACATTTCCAACGCAATTTTGAACTTGTCTTGTACATTTTAGCAATTTTACTCAGTACTGTCGTACCTCATGTTACGTTTGCTTCATGTTACGTTTTTTCAGGTTGCATCCTGCGCCGACCCGGAAGTACCGGAAAGGGTTACTTCCAGGTTTCGCCACTCGCACATGCGCAGAAGCGCCAAATCGCACCATGCACCTGCGCAGACACGACGCTTCAGGTTGCGGGCTTTTCATGTTGCGAACGGGCCTCCGGAACGGATCCTGTTTGCAACCGGAGGTACCACTGTATTAGATACCAACGATACATCCTTTTCATATAGTTTTCTTTCAACGAACAGCATGTGGAAAACTTTATTCCTTCTTTCCATAACTCTTCCCAAGATAAAAGTTGGCTATTACACCCTGTTATGTACTGAGTTGAATAGGATCCAAAATGCAGCAGTCTGATTGGTCCTAGAACAATGCAGCAGTATGATTGGTCAGCAGGAGCCACCCAATCTAGCTCCAGGTGGAGGTGAATCCACAACCTGATTGGCCTACAGGAGAATCCCGGAATTAGCCAATCATGTGCAGCCCATTGTGTAAATAATGTATATAAAGCAGATATTTTGGGGAAACTTTCATTTCCTCCTCACCACTATGAGCTGAATAAAGAGAATGAAATCCACTCACGACTCCAAGCACCGTATTTTTCACTCTATAAGACGCACCAGACCACAAGACGCACCTAGTTTTTGGAGGAGGAAAACAAGAAAAAAATATATTCTGAATCTCAGAAGCCAGAACAGCAAGAGGGATGGCTGCGCAGTGAAAGCAGCCATCCCTCTTGCTGTTCAGGCTTCTGTGATAGCTGCGCAGCCTGCATTCGCCCCATAAGATGCACACATATTTCCCCTTACTTTTTAGGAGGGAAAAAGTGAGTCTTATAGAGCAAAAAATACAGTATATTTCACACCCAAAATCTCTAGCCCAATGTATCATCACTGCCTTGACTGCTTCGTCTATTGTATGCCATTCTAAAAGTAACTTGTAGATTTTTTATGACACTTTGCAGATTAATTCCAGGTATCTGAGCCTGCCTCGGTAGCAGCTGGGCAGTCCACGTCTCTCTTTAATCCTGAGCTCAGACTTTTGCTCCCGAGTAGCCTGACTATAACCTCTTCTCCTTTGACATCCCTGAGCCTGGTTTTTCTCCAAACAGAAGGGGATATTTTTTGGCCCCAAAGAGACCCGAGCTCTGAGCGGGCCAAAGTGTAGCCAGAGGTTTGTTTAGAAGACAAGCGGGTGAGTCACTTTGCAGTTATTTTGCTGGTTTACAGTACGCTATGAAAAATAGGCCTTGTGTTTAAATTAGGCAAGCCCATTGTGTATTTTTTTTTAAGAAATGGCTTGCGTGCGCGAGGCTGCAATTAAGGTCCCAGAGAGAGCAGCAAACTGACGGGAGCGGATGTGCGGACCTGGGGCAGGGAGGGTCAGCGGGATGTCAGCGCATGGAGGGTGCTGGTGTGGCGATCACACAGGGTCCCCGGACGTTTGTCTATTGATCTCTATGCCACCACTGTGCCCGCTTCCCCGTTGCCACCAACCCGTTACTCTCGGGTACACACTGAGTCCAGACAGTTGTTAAAACTGAACCAAATAAACAAGTTTATTTTATAAGAGTTAACAATTTTATGGTTTCTCAGATAATATTATTGTCAGTTTCTTAACTTTAGTTTCTTTACCGGCCTATACCTTCCTAGTGCCTGGAGTGCCTGGAGGCGGTTGGAGGATGGAGGATGGATGGCGGCTAACAGATTGAGGTTGAATCCTGACAAGAGGCTGGAAGGAAGGAGAGAAGGTCCCTCAACTCAGGACCCAAACCCTGTATTCCCCCGAAAAGGCTCAACCACTTTGGCCAACCAATAGCTCAACAACATGGGTCAATCGCTCCCTTAAAAAAGGTCAACAACTCCTGGCAATGACAATGGGTAGACAACAGCCAGTCTTTTTATACAGTGGTACCTCTGGATACGAACAGGATCCATTCCGGAGCCCCGTTCGCATCCAGAAGCAAACACAACCCGCGTCTGAGCGTGCGCGGGTCGTGATTTGCCGCTTCCGCGCATGTGCATGACATCATTTTGAGCGTCTGCGCATGTGTGAGCGGCGAAACCCGGATGTAACGTGTTCCGTTATTTCCGGGTCGCCATGGAGCACAACCCAAAAGTGCTCAACCTGAAGCAACTTCAATTCGAGGTATGACTGTACTGTGAGTAGATCGCAGTCTCTCTCTTGGGAGTCGAACTAGATTTCAATGTGTGTGTATGTGGGATGTGTGACAAGAAATTTTCCAGCCGGGGTACCACTTGACCTTGCTACACAACTCACTGGCAGCAGGACTGATGTCTGCACCGCAAGGAAGGCTTTTTCCTCCTTCTCCTCGCCTCCTCTCTCCAGGGTCAGCAAGGCCAAGGAACCTCCCTCGCTGCCTTCAGATCCTGCCCTCACTTTGCAAACGCAGCTCAGAGTTCGGGATGAGAAGAATTGCTCCGCCTATGTCCTTCCCCCCACCCACCCTTCAAAACCCACAAATATGACATTGATTTTTTTTCAATGGACGTTTTTTCTTCCTTTCTGCTGGAAGATTCAATAATTTCATTGGGCTCCTTGCTGCAATGCTGTACTTATTTCAGATTTGGACATTTTCCCCCTCTTGTGCCTGAGTCCGCAGCAATTTGAAATTTGCATGTTAATTATTGCTTTTTCAGGCCCCTGGCTGCCCCCTTAATTCCATAAACCTATCCCCAGTGTTCACTAACCTTCCGTACAGGAAGCATTACTCAAAATAGTGCTTTGCGTGACCCACCTAGGAGGGTAATAACACCATAAAATCCAATGTATATTCTCTGTGTCTCTCTCTCTCTGTGTGAATGTTTGTTTGTTTTAAATCTGCGTATTTCATTTCATTTTCATCTAACGTTTAATTTGTATACTGCCTTTCTATATTACTATACATGAGGCATCTGAAGATCTCAGGGTGGTTCGCAACATAAAAATACAAAATGAAAACACAAAATTAACAACAACAACAACAATAACTACATTAATATTAGCAATGCCCAATTTACATTTACGTAAAAGGACGTAGATTGTTAATTAGCCAAAAGCCTGGCTGAAGACAAATGCTTTTGAGTTGAAGATATGCAGTGAAGGTGTCAGTGGCAATTAATTGCATATTCGTACAAAATCCAATTAAAAGTCTTTGGTTTAATTAATTCAACAAAATGGATGAACTTGAACCAATGTTAGCAGCTTTTCAAATTCTGGTAGCCATTTAAACCTCCAGCAGCCCCCGGCCCCTTGCCTCTCAGCGCCCCCCAGGGAACCCCACCTCCCTGCAGGGGGCACTGCTACCCACTTGGGGAACCCCTCAGGTCGATGCCCCTTTGAGTCCCTTCCAGAATTCTCTAGCTGTGATTCCTAGAAGTCAGTTATTCCCTGTGTTTGGATCTGAGCGTCGCCTTTCCTTGCTAAGCTCTGCATGCAATATTTCTATTTTAGTGGGTTCAGACTCCCTTTCCGGCACGGTGTTCCGAACCCTCCTCCCTCCCAGCCGTTAACTCAGGTCCAACTTTTCCAGCTCCCACACTTCCTTCCAGAATCCAATCAGCTCCGTCGTTTCTAGTCACGCTGCAGGTCCTTCAGAGTTGCTGGCTGCTCTCTCTCGGCCAGGAAGCAGCAAAAATTGTATCTGTGTTGTTAAAACTTGGGCCAAATCTCTCTTTTCCCTTCCCCTCATTCGCTCGCACCAGCCAGCAAAACAGAACCCTGCAATTAAGCCTTGTCTCTGTTCCAGAGCTGATGCTGGGTGGGGTTTAATGGGAGAAGCCATGTGGGCTGCTGCTGAGCATTATGTGTCAAGGTGTCTTCCAGATTTGTAAGGTACAGCGAGTGTTACCACTAAAATTGCAAGGGAATTATATTCTTCTGGTTTTGCATCTGGCCAAGGAGCACAGCAAGCCCATTTTGTGCCCTTTGAGGCTTCCTCCAAGACCCATCATTTATCCTCCTGCAAGAGGGAACGAGACGTGCAAGGAGGAGGCTCACCTGGCCCGATCCAAAACAGCCGTTTCCCCCTCGAGTTTCGCAAAACTTTGACGGGGGCAGGGAAAGCGAAGACAAGCCATGGACAACCTTGGCCAGCCAACGCAAACCCGAGACCAGAGTCTAATTAGTACATTTCTGGGTGTTCCAAAAAGTTCCTTTTAGTGCTTTTGGCAGGAGGTTTTCAAACACTGAATTTCCCCTTTGGCTCCCCTACTCAAAACGGGGGGGGGGGGAGAGTCACTTGCCACAGCAGTAGGTTGCAGATGGAGAGAACTCTCTCCTTTCTCCAGCTCAGTCAGTTCAGAAAGACTCAGGTGGGGAGAGGTGGCGGTGGAATTGAAGGACATTACATGCAATCATAGAAATGTAGTGTTGGAAGGGATCCTCAGGGGTCATCTAGCCAAACCAACCCCCTGCAATGCAGAAATCACAGCTAAAGAATTATCTTCTTCTTTGGCAATCTCTCGTAGCCGAGTAAGATTGTCTTCCATAAACACAGTTTTAACAATGAGTCCGTACGTGACTGTGGAGGCCAATTCTGGACCCACACGTCCTTCCACAGTGGGGACATGGGTTTCTGGGTAGTTGTCTTTTATGACCGCCAGGTGGTGACCCCTATGATTCGCAGAATTCATCATGCGAAAGGATGGACTGGATGAATCCCAAGCCGGAATTAAGTTTGCCGGAAGAAATATCAACAACCTCAGATATGCAGATGACACAACCTTGATGGCAGAAAGTGAGGAGGAATTAAAGAACCTTTTAATGAAGGTGAAAGAGGAGAGCGCAAAATATGGTCTGAAGCTCAACATCAAAAAAACTGAGATCATGGCCACTGGGCCCATCACCTCCTGGCAAATAGAAGGGGAAGCAATGGATGCACTGAGAGATTTGAATTTCTTGGGCTCCATGATCACTGCAGATGGTGACAGCAGTCACAAAATTTTGTTGTTGTTTAGCCATTTAGTCGTGTCTGACTCTTCATGACCCCCTGGACCAGAGCACGCCAGGCACTCCTGTCTTCCACTGCCTCCCGCAGTTTGGTCAAACTCATGCTGGTAGCTTTGAGAACACTGTCCCACCATCTCATCCTCTGTCGTCCCCTTCTCCTTGTGCCCTCCATCTTTCCCAACATCAGGGTCTTTTCCAGGGAGTCTTCTCTTCTCTTCTCTTCTCTTCTCTTCTCTTCTCTTCTCTTCTCTTCTCATGAGGTGGCTAAAGTATTGGAGCCTGAGCTTCAGGATCCGTCCTTCCAGTGAGCACTCAGGGCTGATTTCCTTCAGAATGGATAGGTTGGATATTCTTGCAGTTCATGGGACTCTCAAGAGTCTCCTCCAGCACCATAATTCAAAAGCATCAATTCTTCGGCGATCAGCCTTCTTTATGGTCCAGCTCTCACTTCCATACATCACTACTGGGAAAACCAGAGCTTGAACTATACGGGCCTTTGTTTGCCTGTCTACTGGGAAGTAAATCCCATGGGATTTACTCCCAGGTAAGGCTGGGGGAGGGATTTGATTCACACTTAAAGGCAAACCTACCTAATGTGCAATTCCTGAAACATTATGCAAAGAGAAACACAGCCGTCCTTCGCAACTTGCACTTCTCTGAATTTTGCAGTGAAGTTCTCTAGCTAAATGATGAGTACAGAAGTGCATATACTAGGGGAAAGTGTGCATAAAAGTGTATATTAGTGAATGCACGAAATGCACTGTATGGGGGGAAACGGATTGCAAATATTTGTATAGTAACCAAAAATGCATATATGAATGTGAATATTAAGAGAAATTTGCAACAAAATGCGGACAGAAATCAAAAGGAATAGAGGGGGGGCCAATGGCTGGATCCAGCAACACTCTCCTGATATTCTTATGTAGGGTTCCTTCTTAAGAAACAGTTCCTATTAGAAAACTCATTAGAAACAGACAGTTAAAACCAGGCTACTGCAAATGATCCTGGTGATTAAACTTTTTCTCCATTTGTCCCAAGTTTTTACTGTTGGATGAAGACAAAAATGGGAAGACCACCTTGCTCTCCCTGCCCTTGCCTATCATAGCAAATAACTGTTTTCAGGGCATCTCACTACACAGATGGTAAAAAGGGTTAATTTGAAGGGAGGTGTGTTTTGCCTCGACCCACCAGGCCTGATTTTCCTCAACAGCCCATTGTAAAAACGATTGTAACTGCACTGCTGAAAAATATAATTCGCTATTAGGCAGTTTGGTTTCCCCTTCATCCATTCCTCTATATAAAGTTTTAACAGTAATCCTTGCTTGTTTCTTTTTAATATGCTCACATAAACATTTTAAAAATTGGCTCTGGAATCAGGGTAGCCATTCCTCTGTCATATATATATATATATATATATATATATATATATATATATATGAATGAACATATAAGACTCTAGCTATCGACATAATTTCTGCAGGGGCTATAAGGAAAGATTCAACTTATTCCAGTCCTACCATTTTTCCTCTGAGGGCAGAATGGGGCACATTGATGAAACATTACACAAACATTTTCAGTACCATCTATACCAGCTTTTGTCCACCTGGTGCTCTCCAGGGGTTTTCGACTACAACTCCCAGAAGCCCCAGCAAACATTGTGCAATGGTGTGTACCATCACATCCAGAATCTTTTTGTGCGGTGCTCTAGAAAGTCCAGATATTGAAACACAGAAGAGCAGTCGGTGGGGGCAGATGCCTTGGTGTCTCTCCACAAAGATGACCAGGTAATTTGGAGTCCCAATATTGAAAGAGAAATTTGAGTGGGAAGAATTTTGAATCCTCCGCTGGCAACTTAAGTCGGTGTCACTAAATTACACTGTTGTCTGCAATGGTTCATAGACTTTGTGTGTGTGTGTGTGTGTGTGTGTGTGCAAGTCTGTATGTACATCATTTATATAATTTATAACATGGCCAGTGTGTAAAATTAAAATTTTCCATCAAGATTGCGTATGGAAACCCAATCTTTTATTTTTGTCACAGCAGCCTGAACAGAGCTGAATAGTTGTATAGCATACATCTGAATGAATGAATGAATTTTTATTGTTTAAGCTCATAACCAACATTCATTTCGACATATTTGATGGACAGATATATTCTGCATTGCTATTTTATGATGCCCTCCTCTTTGCCGCCCCCTGCCCCGGGGTCAATAAAGAGCACATTGCCTGAAGTGGTGTTTTCTTTCTTTCTTTCTTTCTTTCTTTCTTTCTTTCTTTCTTTCTTTCTTTCTTTCTTTCTTTCTTTCTTTCTTTCTTTCTTTCTTCGGCTCTCCTGTGTTCAAAAATGACCAGGAAGAAAGGAGAGACCCCCCCCTTTTCCTTTGAGGTGTATCTCCCCAGCTAGCAACGGTGGAGAATGCAAATCTGTTTGTTGGTCTTGGCTCCGGATTTGGAGCCGTCCAACTCCACGGCGGAGGCAGCAGCAGCAGCAGCAGTTCACATCCAAACTTGCTCCGAGTACCTTGGTTGGCCATTGTTTCTCAAGGCTGACTGGTTCTGAAAAGTGAACGAAAAATTAGCAGTAACAATTCAGCCCAAAGATGAGAGTCTCTTTGCTGTGTGTAGAAACGAAATTGCAGGAAGTGCTGTGGTGGAAAAGACCGATCATCTGTCTAGCGCAACATCCTGTCTCCATCTTGACCTCCTGATGGCAACTTCCTAGATTTTCATGGTCTGCCCACACTCTGACTTGGCACAGTCTCTCCCGTAAACTAAGGCATGAATGAATTACTGAACAGGCTGGATGTATGGGGAACATGACGTCATATCCCTCCTCCCCAAAGGTATGGAACTGGTTGCTTTGAAGGGTTGGCACATAAAAAGGAAGATTCAAGACAGAAAAAGAAAGTCCTTCATGCCATGCATAGCTAAACTATGGAAGGACATGGAAGCCCATTCATAGATGTGATAAAGCTAAAAAGGTAATGGGACCCCTGACCATTAGGTCCAGTCACAGACAACTCTGGGGTTGCGGCGCTCATCTCGCTTTACTGGCCGAGGGAGCTGGTGTTTGTCCTCAGACACCTTCTGGGTCATGTGGCCAGCATGACTAAGCCACTTCTGGCCAACCAGAGCAGCGCACGGAAATGCTGTTTACCTTCCCGCCGGAGCGGTACCTATTTATCTACTTGCACTTTGACGTGCTTTCGAACTGCTAGGTGGGCAGGAGCAGGGACCGAGCAACGGGAGCTCACCCCGTCGCGGGGATTCGAACCGCCGACCTTCTGACTGGCAAGTCCTAGGCTCTGTGGTTTAACCCACAGTGCCACCCACGTCCCAACAGGCCTTCAAACCATGGCAGATGCTTGCTTGTGGCAGTCAGTTGAGCCTGGCCTTGCTGCTCTCCACTCTCTCAGAACTGAAAATGCTGGATTGGACCTACTTGATTCAAACAGAAGGCCACAGAATTGGACCTGCTGGCTCAGTGGGAGAGGACACATTGGGTCTGCACAGGTTCATTCCCTGGTATCTCCTGTTAAGAAGGATCAGGTAGCTGTGAGGGAAATGTTCTCTCTCTCTTGGTCTGAAAGCAATTGTCCATCAGAGTAGACCATACTGGGACAGAATGTGTAGCTCCCCCAATTCTTATGTTTGATGACTGCTTCTGAAGAGCAGGTGAGCGATCACATGAACGCTCAAACAAATGCCTAAGCAACAGTGGCCTAGCAAGGGTTGCTTGTGCCCAGGGTGGGGAAAGTGTTGTGCCCTCTGGTGGACTGGGCAGCTGGCTTGGGGGCGCTTGATTGTGCCCCCTCAAAGAATTGCACCTGGGGGCCCCACACTCTATGCCTCTTCTGATCCAAACCACTGGATTCCAATTACAAGAAAGGTGATTCTGACTAAACATTAAGAAGAACTTTCTGATAGTGAGCTCCATTTGATGACTACCTCGAGGACTCCCTCAGAAGCTGGTGGCCTCTCCTTCCTTGGAGGTTTTTAAGCAGAGGTTGGATGGCCATTTGTCAGAGATTTGTTAGCTGACATTCCTGCACTGCAGGGGGTTGGACTAGATGACCCTTGGGTGCGGGATCCCTTCCAACTCTACAATTCTATGAATCTGAGTCCTAGTGCTATGAGTGTGGGAGAAATGTTTCTTTAGTTACCTACATTCTGTAGACCCTGCATAATTACATACTGTATTTTTCATTCCATAAGATGCACCCGACCATAAGACGCACCTAATTTTTAGAAGAGGAAAACAAGAAAAAAAATATTCTGAACAAAACAGTGGATGTATGATTTTTGTGGTTCATACTGTGACCACAGACATGAGATTTGACAGTGAGTTTGGGGTAGCCCAATGCAAAAATCCTGAGGATCCGTGTGGATCTGTGCTTTGTAACCACATTTTTGTGCCATTGCGGCCCCACAAAACAGTGGCTGCGTGATTTTTTTGGTGCAGGCTGTAGCCATGGACATGCTATGTGATCTGATGGTGAATTGGGGTGACGCAATGGGTGACCCACCTCGACCTACAAGCTCTCCTCTTTTTCTTTCCAACATCCTTTTTCTCATCTCTGGGAAGCTCTCATAATCTCCTCCCTTAATCTTGTGTCTTCTCTCTCTCTCTCTCTCTCTCTCTCTCTCTCTCTCCAGGCTGTCCCCAGGGAACAAGCAACCAAGATGCTTCCTAGATCAAGAAAAGCTTCTAGCCGGTGGCTGGCAGTCTGGCTGAGATCCTTCCCAGATGCCTTGGCGGCTGGACCCTCAAAATTAGACCCCTTGTGCAATGTCCTATCAACCTTTGCTTCACCCCCGCTAGCTGGCAGGCAGATTCCATTGCAGTGTTTGGGTGTAGCTGAGATGCTCAGGAAAGCCCGGCCAAGACTAGTATTTAGAGCAGCCATTTCTCATCACGTCTCCTCCTCCCTGTGCCCTCTGACTGCCCTTTTGGCAGCTGAGCTCCAGTGACCGACACTTGCCCACACGAGCTGCCCGTTTGTTTGGGTTACGGAGGCTGCTGTCGACTTTATTCCTGGATTGCTTCCCTTGGGAACTGTGGGTCATTTCCTGGCCTGCCGTGTTCCTAAACAGCCAGCGCAAGGGAATGACACACACCTGTTGCCCGGCAGCTGTGCAAGGCCCTGGGCTGACTAACGTCGCTGTTGCAACACACTTTCTTGTGTAGATGCTGGGTGAAGAAAATGCCGTAAATA